TGTTTTGATAAGTTTGTGTAAAATATATTTAAAATGGTGTATTTTTTTTGTAGAATAAATTGTGATTGATATTAGAACATGTAATGATGAATTGAATTGTGTAAAATTATATTTGGATACCTTGTTTAAATACTGATTATAAAAGATGAATATGTTATTCTCGAAATAACAATATGATTGTAAGTAATTAATAAAATATTTTGTTCATTATATGTACTTGTTAATTATAAGAAGATAATATACTTAATATACCAATATTCTAATGTTAACACAATAATATGTTGTTGGAGATAATAATTAGTAATGTTGATTGTAAAAAGTGAAAATGATACCCACAATAGATTTGTATGTAATCAATTAAAAGCTTTGTTCAATATATATGCATGTTGACCATACATGAACAAATCATATGTATTAACAAGATTTTCTATCTTGTCTGTTTTTGTCTCACGATTATGATGTATTGTCTTGATCTTTCATAACTTATTGCATTCTTCCAAATGAGTATCATTTTGATCTAGTTTCAGATTGTTGTCTTTTTCGTACCCCGCTTTATTGCCGTAATATTTCATGTATTGTATTTGACATAGGTTCTTTTTTAATTTCTTCTACATTTTAATCTTAATTGCAAAATCTTTCTTATGTGTATACTCACACTAGTAATTGCATTCATTTCCTTGTTTTGCGAATTCCATTGCATGTCAAGCTATGGAGCTTGCATATATTAAAGATGATTAAAAATGTCAAACAATATGTTGTTGTTTAATTTTTAAAATGCTTTCACACAAATAGAAAAATATTGAGATTTGTATTTAAATTCATCAAATGTTGTGCTTTTATAACATGTATGAAATGGATTTTCATGCACACGTAAATGCTAAACTCAATTAAATGAGATAAAAAATTATTTTAACTAACAATAATTTGAATATTTTAATTCAAATATGATTGTTAATACATATTGACGAAATTCGTAACACATCAAACGAGATTCTAATAGTTTCACTACTTTGTAAATCTTGAAAAACTATGAAAACAATTAGGTCACACAATTTTATAAATTATTATCTAAATTTTACTAAAGAAACAATAATTCAATAAATCAAATACAATTAATCGAATGAGGTATTGAAAGTTTCAACTTCATTGTTCAAATTTTACTTATGTGGTTGGACGATTTTGTCTGCATCATCCGATATTGGTGAAGAATATGAAATATTTGAAACTCCAATTTCTCCGATGCTTCCATTGCTTTTCGAGGGATTGATTGAGATTAAAACAATAGAAAGTAAAAATTTTGCTCGTCTCTTGATCTTCTCCATAAATTTTGTGGAGGATTATAGTGTTTTTCTACACGATTTTGAAGATACGAGAGAATGAAAGAGGAATGAGGCAGGATACTGGAGGCAAGATACACTTGGATAAAATTAGTATAATGTAAAATACACTTATATCCCTAAGTTAATACAAGTTTTTAAATTTATTTTTGTAATCCAAGTGCTGTGATAAATCAATTAGCACGATGTTGAACATTGTCTATCGGTAGATCGCACCCCACATAATAATACTTTACATGAAATAAGAAGAAAGAAAATGGAAGAGAGGGAAAAAAATTAAGATGATAGTGTGGCAAGGTCAAATAAAACAATGTCCTTTTATTTCTATTTTTGTTTTTAATTAAAAAAATTATTAAAAAATCAATACAAATTTTTTAAAAATAGAAATTTATTTTTAATTAGAAAAATTATTATTTTTTTCAGAAATTCTTCATTTTAATTATTATTAGTTTTTTTATAAAATACATCTCAATTTTTATTTCTCAAAATTTAATTTTATTAAAAAAACTAAATTACATATTTAAACCAACATAATTATTATCTATCAAAATAAATACATATCAAAATTTTCCAAGTCCAAACCAAATCAAACCTACGAAAATACAAAATTTTATTTTAAAATTCAAATTCAATCCAATTCAAATTCAAACCCAATTTTTCTAAACCTTATCAAAAGAAACACACCTTTATATATATTTATATATATATATATATCTAATTTTAACATTTAACTTCTTTTTTTTTCATATTCATTATTTTTTAACTAACTTTTAAAAGAAAAAACTATTGTAAAAAAGGAGATGTGCAAGAACAATCAAGAGATTTGCTTATAAGCAAGCCACTCGCAAGCCACTCTTAAAAGAGTGCATAATAGCTCATTTATGGCGAAAAATTGTTCCGGGTAATATATTAATCCAAATCTATTTTAATCACTGAAATTCTTAAATGCCACTAATTCATAAATTTAATTAATTTTATATTTCATATATAAAAATAATTTACTATAATATTACAATTTATATAAATTACTATTTTAAAATTAAAATGTAATATTATATACTAATAGATATTATTTATATATATTATTAGATATTAAAAATATATAAAAATAAATAATTATTATGAATTTTATAAAATTGTAAAAATAATCGTGAACATGATGATGTTGTAATGAAAAGTAAAAAAAATAAGCGAATGTTGATGTAAATATAATATGAATGAGAGAGATAAAAAAAAAAAGATAATATATTTTAGGATGAGACTAAAAGTTTGAAAAATAATTCTTTTACATGATTATAATTTAAAATATTAATTAACTAGTGCATATCCGTGCTATGCACAGATGAATGATAAATTATTTTTTGTATTATTTTATTTGTATATTATTATTTGTAAATGTGCAATAATAAATTGATTTTTTTATATTATTTCTTTTACACAATATTATATATCCTATTAAATATATATATATTAAAAATACATATATAGTTATAAACGGTTTTTTTCACTCAATCTATTTTCGGATGTCCTAATTTTTCGTAAGTATTATAGAAAATAAGATATATATGTTAACATAATATATATATTATATATTCTATTCATCTCGAAAAAAATTAATAATTTAAATACAAAATATTTTTTTATATTATCAATACGATTCACCTAACATACAAAATACATTTATCTAAAAATACAAAATGAATACACCGCAAATATTATTGTTATTACTAAAAACAAAAGAAATTATATAGTTATTTTTGTTGATATTTTACGTTATATACGCTAATATAATATTTTGAAGAATAATTGGTATAATTATTAAATAGTTATTATTATTAGAAAATTAATAAATATGAATATTGTTGAAATGATAAAATATACAATAATAATTGATAAATATATTCAAGTGCTCAATTCGTTTCAATTATATGCATTTTTTTCGTCTATTTTACTTAATATGTATATTTCATATTTTAATAACAGTGATTTTACGTTAATACTAAAATACCGTCAAAATTATAACTATTTATTTTTTTATATGTTATTATATAAAAAAAATTCAGAGAGATGAAAAAAATAGTCAACTAATTTGATGAACTTAAAAAGTGCTAAAAATATATGGTTCATTTAATTGCATTTTTTAGTAATTTACTATTCAGTTTGTTTGACTGTAGTTTGAAACTGATTTGACTTAAGACATTTATTTTAATCTTTATTTAGCATTTTGACATAATGTTAGGTAAGAAAAAATAGTACTCTATATGTCCCAATTCAAAGTACAAATTTTATCATTTCGTATGTCCCAATTAAAAGTACTCAATTTCTATTTTAATAAAAGTAATCATACACTAATATCATAATATTTTTAATTTTTATTTAAATTATAAATATTTCATTACATATATAATTATTTTATACATAAAGTTATAAAAATGTCAAGACCCCTTACACATTTTCATTAATTAATATTAATTACTATTAATATTATTTTTTAATTTACTTCAAAACCCGAAAAAGGTGCATTAAAAGGGGATAAAGAGAGTATATATTTATTGAAATTGAGCCGAATTAATAATATTGTAAATTTGAAATACTAAAAAAAGAAGCCTGTAAATCTATCTAAAATAAAATACACACTCAATTGATTTAAACCATAACAATTTTTTTGTTTCATTTTCATTTATTCAAACTCCATACATTCATTTATAATTTATTTATGGTTACTATGAGAGAAATTTTAAATGTAAATAATTTTTTTTTTCAATTATTGAGAAAACATAGAAATAAATAATTTTTAAGTGGATGATACATTTTAAAATTTTTAATAAATTAATTTATATTAAATATATTTAACTTGATACATTTATACGTGTGTTATATTTCATTTAATTATATTTATATATTTTTTATTTAAACAATCATACTCATTTTAAATTATATTAAGTCATATTTATAGTTAATGAACAAATTTTTATATTTTGGTATTTAGTTATATTTTAAGTAAGTTTATTTTTTTAGTAAATCAAATCTCAATTTTTCTTATATATATTTAATTATAAATTATCAATTTGTCAAATCTTTATTGTTTTCTTATGAAAATGATCCTACTCACAATATTTATATTATATTTTGAACCATTGATTTATATATATTTATTTTTAATACTATTTTTTTATTTTAATTTTATTTAGATATATATTTATTAGGTAAGAATTATATAAATAAAATTTTTTATTCTACATAAAATATTTATTTTTTTATTTAGATTTGTACACATTATTTATCACTTCTTTTTTAATTATATATTATATTTTATAATTTTTTAAAATTTAATTATTGAATTATTTTAAATTATTTACTTTTATTATTTAATAATTATTTTTTTAATATATTAATTATAACTTGCTAATAATATATAATATTATATTTATTATTCTTCCCCACCGCCGCCACCCGCTCCACTTTTTTTTATTATTTTATTATAATTAGTTTTAAGTGATGAGCTACACAAAGAAAATAAAAAAATAAAAAAATAAAAAAGGAAAGAAGGATAAATTCTGACCGCGACCGTAGCAACATGAAATCAAACCCATATATATATATATATATATATATATAATTATATATTAGATATTAGATTAAATTAGATTAGTTTATATTCTATTATCACTAACAGGCGAGCCCTAGCCCCAATTCTCCAATCCAAACCCTATTCTCATTCTTCTGTTTTCAGCCTACTTCCTCTTATCTCCCGCCTTCAGCTTCGTCGACGTCGTCTTGGGGCATCTTCTTCGTCAACTTGCTGGCTGCTGTACGGCCACTGCGGAGGAGTCTTGCCTTTATCCGCCCTAATCATTTCTATAGTAGCGGCTCCGTTTCGATCGTAGAATCATCTTCTTCAGTATTTATGGGGTCTCAGTCAATTGATTTCGAGTGGCCTGCCCGACGGGTTAGAGATACCTTTCTTAATTTCTTCGAGAGCAAAGCCCATATTATATGGAAATCGAGTCCTGTTGTCCCCCACAACGATCCCACCCTCCTGTTTGCTAATGCTGGTAATTCATTTTACCCTTTCTTTGTTTTTGCTATTGAATTTCAGTAGTTTCCTTTTAGTTCATTTGTGTTTTGGATGCTTTGGGTTTGATATATATATGTATATTATTTTACTTTTTTTGATGAAAAACCAGGTTTTGCATGTTTTGAATTGAAAATAAGTGTTGCAGAAGATATTTTGAATGAAAAATAAGTTGTTGCAAAGTTCATTTGATGTATTTTACTTTTTTAAGGAATAAATGTAAATTAATGATGAAATTAACAATTTTTATTTGAACATAATTGGCTAGTCATATTGGATTTTTTAATGATAATGCTATATTGCAAGATTTTGTTGTGAGCACTTCCCAAGAATCCGCAACGTTTATTTTAGCTCTAATATATAGTTTATTGAGTTCGGTATTTGGTTCTGAATGTTTTGTATATAATTGAATCTTTTCTGGCAGGTATGAATCAGTTCAAACCAATCTTTTTGGGGACGGCTGATCCGAATACTGAATTGAGCAAACTTAAGCGTGCTTGCAACACTCAGAAATGTATTCGTGCTGGTGGCAAACACAACGATCTTGACGATGTTGGCAAGGACACTTACCACCACACATTCTTTGAGATGCTTGGGAATTGGTCATTCGGTGATTATTTCAAGAATGAGGCTATTGAATGGGCTTGGGAGCTTCTTACCAAGGCAATTTCCCTTCCATTTCTTTGTTTTTGATTGTTCTGATAGGTTGCAGTATATCTGTGATGGATAATGCTTTGGTTTGATTTACATTTCAAATGCCTGACTTTTACAGGTTTATAGATTGCCTGCGGATCGAATTTATGCTACATATTTTGGTGGAGATGCGAAACTTGGTCTTCCTGCTGACAATGAAGCAAGGGATCTCTGGCTTAAATTTCTCCCTTCATCCCGTGTCTTGCCTTTTGGCTGTAAGGTTTGATAATGTTTCATTTTCATCCCTCTGCCTCAACATTTTCATCAAACTTATTTAACATCAAAGTAGTCAATAGGAGGTTATAGTGCTGCTATTCTGTCGCCATGGAAATGAGGTTGAAATGGTGTGTAGACTAGATGCTTAACCCCGAGAGCCTAGCCATTTAACATATAATGCATAATAGGAAGTTGAGCATGGACCAAAGATGTAAGGCATTGAAAAATGAAATACGGATGAAATCCTGCTTTTAGGATGAGTGCTTGTGAACATGCATGTATATGTATCTGGGGCCATGCTACATTGTTCCTTGTTAGAAGTGTTATCATTTCTGCTTTTGGTTTCGCTAGTAATGTAAATGAAATTTAATCTATATCTCTGATATACTGCTTTTAAAAGGACAACTTTTGGGAGATGGGAGATACTGGCCCCTGTGGACCCTGCACGGAAATTCATTTTGATAGAATTGGTGGTCGGGATGCTGCGCACTTTGTGAATAATGATGATCCCACTGTGATTGAGATATGGAATCTTGTGTTTATCCAGGTCTGTAATTATTTTTCTAGTGTTATGTTTTGCATATATTCTCTTATGGTCTAATAAACTACCGAATTGTTCTGTTGCAGTTCAACAGGGAACCTGATGGCTCATTGAAACCTCTACCTGCTAAACATGTTGACACTGGAATGGGTTTTGAAAGATTGACTTCTATTCTTCAAGATAAGATGAGCAATTATGATACTGATGTATTCTTGCCTATCTTCGATGCGATACAACAAGTAAGTCTAGTATCATAGGGATCCAAATAGTGCTCATTTTTTTCAGCCATGAGAATTGATTTAGGAAAGAAAAGACTTTTTGAACCTCTTATTGTATGGTCAATGGTGGATATTATATTTTTCTGTTGGAGAACATATAAATAATACATTTCCCTGACAAGTTAAACTAATAGGTGAGAGTCGCTTAATATTTTAGTATATAGCATCAGGTCCTATTGAAGATTTGTACTGTATGCTATATATATCTACACCATCATTTCTCTAAAAGATCGAAGTAATAAAAATGTAATAAATGAATAAATTAAAATTTAACTTATGATTTATAATAAGCTTTGAGTGTGTGTTGGATGAAACCACTTCCAGTTAATTAGTGATAGCTTAGTGTCTGCACGTGCTAGCGCTGTGGGTTAACATGATATGTCAAGGTGAAACACTGGCAATTTAAACGATTGGATGAGGTGCTCATTTAACAAGATTTCTACTTTCATGAGCAGCTTCCTCTTAGTGTTTTTATGTTATTTTTTTTTATGATACTATATGTGGAATTGTGCTGTTAAAACATTTTATGGTTTCTTCATTTTTATAGGCAACTGGAGCTCGCAAATACATTGGAAAAGTGGGAAATGATGATGCAGACAATGTTGACATGGCTTACAGAGTCGTTGCTGATCACATTAGAACAATCTCAATTGCCATCGCTGATGGTTCTTGCCCAGGTGAAGCATTGATTATTGTTTTTCTTTCGTGTACTGGACCTACTAGTATTATTAAACATTTATACCTGTTGAACACAATCAGATTTCCCTGTATACTTTCTCCTATAGTGTTTGGCAAATGATTTATGTATGAGTCCGGACCTGGTTAGTTTGATGCTAATCTGGCATTGGCAGGAAACGAGGGACGTGAGTATGTGTTAAGGCGTATCCTTCGACGTGCTGTGAGATATGGTACTGAAGTCCTGAAAGCAAAGCAAGGCTTCTTCAATGAGTATGAAACTGTACTTATTTTTTTGTTTATATTGTCCAATTTTCTGTTGTCCATTTAGGTGTAGTTTAAAGTTCTAGCTATGCTGATATTTTAATATTTTTTTGGTGCAAACACCTATCTACTACATATTCAAGTTAAACCACTTTCAGGAATCTGTCTTCAGTGATATGCTTAATTCTATCCCTTATCCTTGAGAAATGATATTATTCTCAAAACAGGCTGGTACAAGTTGTGGTGGAGCTCATGGGTGATGTTTTCCCAGAGCTGAAAAAGCACTCAAAAAAAATCAGGGAGATCATTGCAGATGAGGAGGCTAGCTTTGGAAGGACATTGACAAAAGTTCGTAATTTTTATTTATTTATTTTTAAAATTCTTTGGGTATGTTTGGTTTGTGTGTTGTATTTGCATAGTGGTTTGATTTGATGTTTTGTGAGAGAGAATAGTGTATTAGGGAGATTGGATAGCAATGAAACGGAAAATTTAAAGCATCAAATTATGTTTGGGCTAGCCAGTTTGTTTTTAAAAGCATCAATATGTTCACATTGAAGTAGTTTGTCATGCAAATCTGGTGTTTGATAACTGTTTTATACTGTTATGTCATCTTATTTGCTTCTCAATGAAAATTTGTCTGGCTTGGAAGTTAACAGATGTGACATGCTCTTCCAGGGAATTGAGAAATTCAAGAAATCTGCTCAAGAGCTTCAAGGGAGTATACTTAGTGGGCAGGTAAGGGGTTTGATTAGATATTACTGCCGCTTTACATTATATTGCATGTAAGGGATGTGGGACCTTGAGCTGTTGTTTGTTGTAATGCCAGCACAAGCATTATTATGTTACATAGATGTTATTATGATTTGTAGAAGTTGACTATTAAGTGCATTATGCATGACTGTGTTGTTACAACAGAGTATTTATTTCAACTAGCTCATGGCTTTTGATTTTCTAGTATCCCAGGGAAGTTACACATTACAGTTTGCTGGTGGTTTATATGATTGAATATAAGGTGGAAAAAAAAAGATCATTTGGTAGAGAATTTGTCGCAGACTTGCTCGGTGGCCCCAGTACTATCATGAATGCTTTCGTTTGTGGAAAAACTGTCACCTGTTTAAAGGGTAGTTTTCAGATAGGCTGATTAAGAAACAAAGTACCGAACTTTAAATCTTAATTTTCCTCTTCTTGTGTGATGAGTGAAAGTTGCATCTAAGCAATGATATTCTAAATAATTTAATGGTTATTTATTTATTTTAATTTTTTTATCATCTGATTGCAGGATGCATTTGATTTGTGGGACACCTATGGCTTTCCTTTGGATCTAACTCAGGTAACTTTAACTCTGTTTTTTTTGCTGTTGGGGAGGGGATTGGTCTTTGGGCATAAATAACAACCTTTTGGCTTTGTTTGGATGTATGTTTGTGTATTACTAAGGTGTATTTTAAGATATGGGTACACATTTTCCATTTGATATTTTTTGGTGTTTGTGTGCGTAATTATAACTAGTGGATAATGGGATTGATTATAAGAGTGATAAATTAATTTTAGATTATGTTTAGTTTATAGATAAGAGAATTGATTGAATTATTGTTCAGTATAAATCAACTAAAAAGTCAATTAATATATATATATATATATATTCATACACGTAGGGTAAAATGGTCATCATTTTGGTCTTATTAACATAAAGGAAAGTACACATTGCTTTAGGGTGTAGTATAGGGATTTGTGAGCATGAATATTTTTTTATCTATATCTTATTTGCGGTAATGGTGAAGTAATTGTTGAGATTATATATATTGTAAAAGTTATATTTGATCGGTTGCGTTTCAATTCCTTCTTTCCCTTGTTATTTGAGATGTAAAATTACATCAAACCACAGTCTTTACCTTTCTGAATGCTGACTAACTATATATGCCTGTCAGTTGATGGCAGAAGAAAGAGGTTTATCTGTTGATGTTGAAGGCTTTAACGTGGCTATGGACAAAGCAAGGGAAAGATCAAGAAGTGCCCAGAATAAGGTAATGAGACTTCTGGTTACAGGGATATGAATAGATATATAAATATAATGAGAACTTAATAAATGCCAGTGCTTGGCATGTAGCACTCTTGAGATTTCTCTAGGAAGGGGAATGCAATGTTGATAGATGCTATTCCATATACAGTTGATACAATTATGCTCAAATTCTTAGATATTGTTATTTTAAATTTCTCAGCAAGCTGGTGGCGTGATTGGCATGGATGCTGATGCAACAGCAGCATTGCATAAGAACGGCGTTTCTTCCACTAATGATTCTTTCAAGTTTACATGGTTTCAGGTATGTCTTAATGGGTGTCTTTTTATTTCCTCAAAAGTTGAGGTTATTTATGTTGAATGAGCTATCCGGTGTATGTCTTGCATGATTTATGTAGTTCTCTATATCAGTTTTTTCAATATATCACAATGCCTTCCTTCCTTTTCTTTCTTTCTCAAACTTGTTGCATAAAAAAAGGTAATCTATCATAGTTGCTGAATTTTAAGATGTAAGATTTCATCTTTGAACACACTCCAACTTCTGGTTTCTGTGATGATCATCTTCCTTGGTCATTCTCTTGGTACTGGTTCCATGGGAGATATAGCTAGACGTTCATAAACTATATTGAAAATGCTTGTTGTGGTTTGGGATATTATGTAAAATCTTTATTATTTCATTCTGGTTCTCTCCCCTCTACTTTTCATTGTTTAAATTTTCTCATGGGTCATGCATCACTCATTGTTTGTCCTTTGGGTTTGCATCAAGGAAGGAACAGTTTCTTTTGCTTTTTCCTTTTTTTTCTGCTGGTTGATTTTTGAACTTCTACTTGTATCCTAAGATCCTTTGTCACCCCTGACAATATATAGTCAATGCTGCAATATGTAAGTTCATCAGCTGAGCTGATAATCTCTATTACCTTTATATCCAGTTGCATGCTGTGTATAGGTTAGATTTTATCATTGAGGCCTTAGTGTGATAATTAGCCATGCACTTGTGGTTTGCCAGAACATTTTCTACCAATTATTGACTTTTAAATTTTGATAATCTCTTTCTTTTGATGATTTAAGGATCATGCAAGCACAATTAAAGCTATCTACACCGGAAGTGAGTTCCAGGAAAGTGTTGCCTCTGGTGAAGAAGTTGGGATAATACTTGAATCCACGAGCTTTTATGCTGAGCAAGGTGGTCAGGTAACATATTTCTCTGATAGCTATTGGAAATAAATTTTGTTTTAATATGATGTATAACTTTAAATCAAATGAGTTGAGCTCAATGTATATAATAACAGTAACACAAGTGCAAATTGGTTTTGGATTTTGATATCAAAGACTTTGCCTCCATCCATGAGTGTACAATGGTCACATAGTCACCGTGACTTCTGAACTGATAATTATCCTCATATTGGTTTTACCACAACATCTAAAGTCACTATTTGCGTTAAATTGTTTAGGTTTTTTGGTTCTGCTGTAGTATTTAGCTTCTTTTTAAAGATTTTGTATTAATAGAGTTAGGATTCATAAGATCTTGGTTTTGCCTTTTTTTTTCTCTCTTTTTTTTTTTGTATTCAGTAGTTGCCTGGATGTGATCTGCAATGGCTTTTATGTTAGTTTCTCTAGTTTGCTTATGCTTTAGGCTTTAGGCACTCTAACTTTGATCCTAAATGCATTAATGTATTCATGTTGCTTGTTATTTCTGCAATTATTGCTTGTTTTTATGGAAATTTAGAAGATGTCCAAAATTTTGATTTCACAAAATTATTGAAATTCATTATAAAAAAATGATAACAGTAAAAAATGAAATTAATATATTTATTTTAAACACAATTGTTCGCATTTCTATCTAACACTTATTGTGTAATACTTAAAAACCATTGAGGGTGTTTTTACTTGTGTTATAAATGTCACATCCAACTCTTTCTTTTTTTTTTTTTTTAATTTTATTTTAAACATCAAATTAAATATAAACGCCTGTTTTTCATATAGAAATTGAGTGGGGGAAATTTTGATTGAAATTATGCAATAAATTATTGTATAAGTTTTGTTTTAGTTAAAATTGTAAATATCTGTCATAACTTCAGGGTTCTGACTGAAATTAAAACCAATGGCTATACATTGTAAATGGTGTTGAATTATTAGACTTTTTGAAATCAATCACTGGAACATTTGATGCGACATTGCTTGTGTAAATATAATGATTCCTAGAAGTTCCAAAACAATATGTGAACCATGTGTCTTCATTTCTTGGTAGCAATATACGTGAAAATGTGAACTAATGGTCAGTTGAGAATGATAACCGTGCTCTACAGGTCTTTGACTCCTACTTCCTAGTATAGCTTTTTGAAGTTACTGCAGTAGTACTGGGTTTCATTAACTATCTTGTTTGGTGGTTTGATTCTTGGTTGACAAAATTTTAGTTGTAGTGATTTGTACGTTGTAATCATTAGCATTTGTATATGTGGTGACATTTGTTTATTGCTAAATTGACATTTATTTTGAATTTTAGATATATGACACTGGACTAATCAAAGGTCCTGGTGGAGTCTTTGAAGTGAGAAATGTCCAGATTTTTGGTGGATATGTTCTTCATATTGGTTCTTTGACTGGGATACCTGATAGGTTGCATATTGATGATAAAGTTATTTGTAAGGTGATAGTCCTTGTTTTTATCTCTACATTTTTTGCACAATCCTACAATGTTTATTGAGTTTATTTGTTGGGGCTGAGCAGGTTGACTATGATAGGCGAACATTGATTGCTCCAAATCATACCTGTACTCACATGTTAAATTTTGCATTGAGGGTAAGGTTTATAAACATTTCTGAAAACCATGAATCTGCAGCATCTTTTCCATATTAAAAAAAACTCTCTTGCTTTGTAGGAAGTACTGGGTAATCATGTTGACCAGAAAGGATCCATTGTTCTTCCTGAGAAATTGAGATATGATTTCTCTCATGGTAAGCTTATGGTTCTCTGTGAGGATTATCCTCATGAATACTAATATTATTGAAATCATAAACAGGAAAGCCAGTGAAGCCTGAGGAGCTGAAGAAAATCGAGTCAATTGTTGCTGAACAAATTCAGGCTGAACTGGATGTGTTCTCCAAGGAGGCGAAGCTGGCTGATGCCAAGAGCATCAATGGTCTAAGAGCTGTTTTTGGGGAGGTAACTTCTTCAAGTTATTTTACATTAGATATATTTAGATCTTTGAATACTTGGTGTTGTGTCCTGTAATTTATCTATTTCATTATTGATTGTTTCAATTTATTTAGGTGTATCCTGACCCTGTTCGCGTTGTTTCAATTGGTCGAAAAGTGGAGGATTTACTTGCAAATCCCAAGAACGAAGAATGGTTATCCATATCTGCTGAGCTCTGTGGGGGTAAGTGTCATCTAATTCAATTTCTTACTGTATTGAGTGTTTGTATTGATTAGTAAGTTACGGCATTTATTCAGGGACCCACATATCAAATACAAGGGAAGCCAAAGCATTTGCCCTATTATCAGAGGAAGGTATTGCCAAAGGAGTCCGCAGGATTACAGCAGTGACGCTTGATCCTGCTTTCAAAGCCTTGGAGCTTGCTTCTTCACTAGAGGTGGAAGTGAATGAAGCATCCCGTGCTGAAGGCAGCCTTTTGGAGCAGGTTCTTGTACTTTTAGTTTTGAAATTATGGTCCAAGTTGTCCTTTACTGCCTCTGCTTTAATGGCTTTTTGATGGTGTGGAATTTTAAGGTTTTGTATTTTTGTGACATCCAACTGATAATTGCGTAATTGTTTACCTCTCGTAACTCACTGATGCCCAGTGCTTTGGAACTGCCTCTATCCACTTTCATGCATTGATCGTTGATAGTTTATTTCTCCCTCTATCTCAACAGTAACCATCCATAAGAGCTGGCAGCATACTATGGACTCATCAAGAAAGTGTTTGTTTTAATTGTATTCTATACTGTTGTGCTAACCTAGATTTTATTTCATTATTGCAGAAAGTCACTTCTCTGAATAGTCGTGTTGAGGGAGCATCTATCCCTTCTGCTAAGAAAGCTGAGCTGAAGGCCAAGCTCTCTGTGCTTCAGGTACTGTTATGTTATGGCCATGCATATTTTAATTTTTTTTTTCCCTCTTATAGAGGAAGTTGTTTATTTATATCATGATGAAAACGAGGAATAAAAACGATAGGGAGACAGATTCTTTCTATGCAAGATCTATAATAGGAGCACCATAAAATGTAAATACTGTAGCCTGAGATTATTTGCACTTCTGGGAGTGTATTGGAAAAGAGACTAGGGCATCTGGAAATGGCGTGCCATAGGCATAGCCCATTGTATCAAAATAAAATTTCGTAGAGCTGAGGCGCCTTGATCCAACCTTAGACCTTATTCTCCCGCATGCATTGTTAACGAACTTTAATGATATGGTGCTTGGAAAATAAATGGAAAAACCTTTTGTCAGGGTCAAGTGATAAAAGCCAAAAAGAAGATAGCCGAAGAACATATGCGAAAAGCTATTGAGGTTGCTCTTCGCAATGCTGAGACTGCCGTATCAAATGGAAAGACATACTGTGTGTCACTTGTAGATGTTGGTGCTGATACTTCTGCGATTAGGGAGGCAGTTGTTAAAGTCATGGAACAAAAGGTTTTTTTTTGCAATTTTCTTTATTAAAAGATTAGTTTCTTTTTCTATTTTTTTGTTGTTTTTAATTTGATTGCTTTGTCAACAAATAGGGTGTGGCAGTTATGGTCTTTAGCAGAGACGACAAAGTGAACAAAGCTTTTGTTTGTGCTGGGGTACCGGAGAAAGATGCCAAGTACAAGCAATTGAAGGTTACTGAATGGCTGAACAAGGTTTTGGAAAATATTAATGGAAAGGGTGGCGGAGGAAAAGGAGGTCTCGCCCAAGGCCAGGTGATTAATTAATACTCTGAAACTAAAACGATACTATCAATACATGCCTGACTTAAATACTTGCGCTGCATTTTCAAACCGAACAAACTGTGGTTATTGGGTGTATTTCAAACTTAAATGACCTAATTTTATGATCTTCACCCGAGAAATAATCTCACTGCATTATTACGTTCTCATCGAGCATATTTTATAGCTGTATCTATTTATTCAGCTGCATCTTTTGTGATCAGGTTGGAGAAATATTACAACTAGGAAGAATGATATGCTTTTTTAATGTAAAAATGATCACTAGCCATGTCGAAATTCTTTATATTTTTATGTTCTAATGTTTTGGAATCCACCGGCATGTTTTAGCTGTTTCTTGATTATACAGTTTTAGTTCGCGAACATCATTTTCCTTTTTTTATTATTTTCAGGGAAGCGATGTGTCCCACGTGGAAACCGCGATTGATGTGGCGGAATCATTCGCTGCGATGAAGCTAACTTGATTGAAGTGAAGAGGGGTTGGAAACATTTCTTAAATTATTCATGAAACAGAGGTCAGCTAGATGTTACTAACTGGTTTCTTATCTGTTTGATTGTGTAATGCTTTCAATTTTAATTTGGGTTGGGATTTCTATACGCCCTTGGGCAAAAATGATGGGATCGCCTTTATGCAATGAATGAAAATTATAATCATGCTCTATTGTTTGTTTGGGATTGAGTTTGGCTTCGAGAATGATTAGGGATGGAGAAATTTACCAAACATACTGAAATAACGTATTGTATTATGTCGAAAATATCGAAAATTTTGGTACAGTATGGATATCGTACCAAAGTTTTTGGTACGGTATCGGTATAAAATTTCGGAAAGTTTGGTATGATATCGTACCGATATTATTTTTATTAAATAATTTAATTAATAATTTTTTTTTAAAAAAAAATCATAACAAAAAAATATGTAAACTATTCAAAATTTATTGATTTTTCAAAATATTTTTGTGGTGGAGAACGGTGGTATTTATTAATTTTTTAAATTATTTTGAAATTTAAAATTATATTTTCGGTATAATTGGTATATACCTGTATCTATCGAAATCAAAATTAACCGGTATCGTATCGAAATTGAAAATTTTGGTACAAACGGTATATAACGGTACCGGTATGTATTTTCGTCGTACCGAAAAGTTCGGTTGGTATCGATTTGTATTTTCGGTACGGTACGGTATGCTATCCCTAAGAATGACTGTTTACGTTGTTTTTATTTATTTTTTATTTTTTTATTTTTCTAAATGTTATGTTAATTATTTATTTACATTCGTAGAATATTGTGTCAAATATTTTATAAACTCGAAAATTTTTGAATTAGGAATAGTATTATGATCGTAATGTAAGTATGTATTATATCTAATTAGGTATTTAATAGTTTTGAATGGATAAAATGGTGATTTTTAATGTTATATTTTTTTATTTTGTTTTTTATTTTAAATATGATTTTATATAAATAAGTATTATATATAATTAGGTATTTAATAGTTTTGAAGGGATAAAATGGTGATTTGTAATGTTATGTTTTTTGAGTTTGTTTTTCATTTTAAATTTAAATTTATAGAGATTAATAAAATTATAGAGAATGAAATTTAAAATGTGATTATATTGTATAATTCTACTTTTTTGTAAGAAAGAAAAAAGAAAAGGACAAATGAAGATAGACGAAAATAGAAAAAAATTGGCAAAGATAGAGTATTATTCTACATAAATATATTTAGAATAGTTTTAATATTCACATCAGCTTATTCTTTTGAAACCGAGGTAATTGAAAGTTTTTTTTTTTTTTTTTTTTTTTAATTTTTGCTTAGCAAAATATTTTATTAAAATAATATATAAATAAATAAATTCAAAACAAAACTAAGCACACTAATTTGAAATAAATACACTAATTTATATATATATATACACTACATATATTTAATATCAGTATTTAGTTTTTACATTGTCAGATTTTTTAAATTATTTTATTTTTATTTTACAATTTTTTATTTTTATTTTATTATTCCACTTTTTTATTTAGTATAGTACTATGTTTTTAGAAATATTTTTACCGTATTATCAATATAATATTAGTATTATTTTTTTAATTTTCGTATTAATTTTAAATATTTTTATTGTTTTTGGCACCGAAGAGTATTTGTTAGTGAGATATTTTATTTAATAATGCTGAACTTGTGAATATATAGGTTCAAACCTAGGGATGTCAAATGGGGCGCGTTAGTCCCGGATCCGCCCCGGACCCGTTCTTAATGAGGCGGGTTCGGGTCTAAATAATATGTTTTGGGGCGAGTTGTGGATTTGAAATTTTAAATTTGGCCGAGTTCGGGGCAGGTTATCCGTTCCAACCCGGACCCGAAACCCGGATATTTTTTTATTTTAATTTTTTTACTTGAGAATAATATAATATAATAATACGTATATATATTTTTTTAATTAGGTACTAGTGGATCGACCGATAGATCAAAAAGTTGTCCTCCTACAATGCTAGATGAAGATGAAGACTTTTACGTTGAAAAATGTTAGAATTGACTATTTGATGTTTTAAATTCTTATATTTGCATTGTGTTTATATACTTTTATCTTATTTTTATGGATCAATATTTAATTATTTTTAGATTTTTTTTTTGTATTTTTAATGCTATTTATTTTCGTATTTGATTGTTAAAAAATATTTATTATTATATATTTTTAAAAAAAGCGGGTTTGCCGGGTTGGTGCGGATCCTGGGGCCGGGTGGAAAGGGAGCGCGACGGATCTCGAGGCCTAATATTTTCTAGCGGGGCAAATTTCGGAGCCTGCAGAATCCGTACCGAACTCGCCCCGTTAGACATCCCTAATCAAACCACATATGCCTCCATATTCAAGTGTAATCAATCCATCATTGTCTAATGTCATTTATTTTATGATTACAAGGAGGTTGGATCGCATGTTATAAAAAATTAAATAGAATAAAACATATCATATTATAAACTTAAAAAAAAATAAATTAAATAGAATAAAAAATATCATATTGTAAACTTAAAAAAATAAAAATAAAAAATGATTGATGTATGAGTATTTTTTTATTACGAAAGAGGCAATGTAAAGAATAACAGCCAAACATCACCACATTGGAGAACACGCCTTCGCCTCTCGGATACTCCCCGCCTGTTCAACTGTTCATCCGTTCCCCAATTCCGATGGCCACCGCCGTAGTTCCTCTTCCTTGTTCCGGTAACAGTTCTTCCATGGCGCTCGCATCATTCATTACTCACATCCAGGATATACATCGTCTTGTTGAAATATATATATATATATATATCTATGTACACATGAATTGCGATGCTCGTTTAACACAAACACACACGCGCCGACCATCATCCGTGCTCAATATACTTAATCTCACTCTGTTCACGCAGTAGGTTATTCGAATTGCAATTTTGGTACTGAATAGCTGTTTGGATGATATTACCCTAATTCTGTTCATTTCTGTTTAGTTATGTGGCGATGGCGTCGCTCAGAATTCTCTCGATTTTGTTGCAGGAGGAAATCATATTAAGCCGCGTAGTGTTTTATCTACAAACTCAGGCGCTTGCGTCTTGACGCAGCCTTTGTTTGTTCGGAGGAAAGCTTCTTCTCGTACCAACCGCCAAATGTCCATTCGAGCTCAATACAAGTATGAACTCAGCTCTCCATTATGTCAAGAATTCGTTATTATGTTGGCTGGAGGCCATTCGTTAATGTTCACTAATTTGCAAGGAATAGGTTTATAAGCAGCGGTCGCAGGTTTATGGCCTTACCATAACTAAATTAAAGATCTCTGGGAAATTATATGTTATTTTCTAATAGCTTTGCTCTCCAAGGTTATTTCAATTGTTTGCATTCATATATAAGTGTAATGAATTCAGTGAATAAGTTTATTCAGGAGTCGCCAATATTTATTAGGGAAATCGGATCAAAAAATTTGGTGAAAGTTTAGTGTATGGGTATGGGAATGGAAATGGAAAGTTCACAGTTCTGTTTGGCATGGAGTAACATGAAATGACATTCATTTTTCATCGTTAAGTAATACTCCTACAATGAAAAAATTGTTAGTGTGGATATTCCATAGATAAATAAAAATACATTATAAATTATAACTGTATATATATATATATATTTATAATGGTATAAGTGAAGGATTATGAGATTTCGTAGTTTATTGAGTTGATGTTTCACTATACATAAGCTTTAGACCACACTTGAACACATATTAAACATTGTTTTAGAATCTACCTCAGTATATCTTAAATAAAAGAAAATATACTCTTAATGGTACCTTAGTTCTTCCTTAGAAGTTCTCATATTCACTCATTAATATGCATAATATCATCTCCATGAAAATCTTCATTTGCTATGGTCACTATTGTGTAATTACAATTAATGCTATCTTAATACATTTGTTGTATTGGTTATGCTATAGAAAATGTGTCTGGAGGGGGCTATAATTAATTATATTTACTACAGCCTGGAACCATTTGACACCCATTGTGAAGTAATTCCATCCCTTTATATTGAGAGTAGTGTAATCATACAAGTAATTGGTGTTGATCTTATCGCTTCCAATTCATTTTGGAATTTCTTATTGGGTAACTTGTTGAGACGAACGATCAATTTCAGCAGATGGATTGGTGAAACATGTGGTACTTGATTACTGAAGCTTCCTAATTATAACCCTTCCATTTTTTATTGATTGTGGAATGAATCTATAACAACCGTTCATCTTGTGTTCAGTAAGTCAAGGCTGACTTCTCCATCTTGTTTTTCTTCTCATTCTTTGAAGACTTATCACCAAACTTTTTATTTTCCAAATTCCAACTAATTTGAGGCTGGCTTGAATTGAACTTGATGCTATTCGAAGTTTGAAGATTTTATCCTTTCCAGTAGAAATATAAGAAGATGTTTTCCTCCACCAGGATAGCTTGCCAACTTCATATGAATTGTACTCATAAAATATTGATGAATATCTTGTTATTTATGTTTTTCCATTGCATCTCTAAAGGGGAATCTTTTTACGGTTGTCTAGTTTGAAATTGCACACGTAAGCCATCACTCATCAGTTTTGATAGATTGCTGGTTCATTTTCAATTTTATTACATGTTTCTGGGAGTGTCAAGAAAGTGAAGTGGTTCTGATTGAACTAGCACATACAAGTGCTTCAGGAATATTACCATGATTGTCTATGTGAAATAGATTCAAGCATTGATGTTGATTCAATTTCTTAATTAATTAAAGAAATCTGGGCCATGTAGTAGGAGGATGAGTTCTTAGAGAGATACACACAATGTGCAGAACTAGATAGATTTCCTGCAATTAAAGTTCACAGTATGGTTACCATATTGATCACTGTATGTACAAGATCGAGTTATGACGGGCACTCTAATGCTTCCTGCATTCAATTTGATGCCTCATCAATTTGATATTGAGGTTTCTGAGTAATGTGGATATTGGTACTATAGAAGTCTCTAAATCACACATTGCTCTTTCTACATCTCTTTTCTTTCTTTCTTTTTATCTTTTCTTCCCTTTTTAGATTGCATGAGGCTAGGTGGTTGTTTTTTCATTCCATTTGCCTTTCAGTATTTTTCTTGATGTTAAGACTAATCATTGCAGAACATTATCTTTTTCAAAATATTTTTTTTGTTTCTGTTTCATAGTCACATTTTTTTAACTCTTCCATTTATTAGTGACCTAATTGTCAAAGTGATATAAGTAATTAGTTTGTTCTCTATGACTTAGATATAATATTTATTTGTTTACCAACAGAACTTATAAAATTTTGTTGGATTAATGGGTTTTCTCTATACATGCAGTGGGCGTAACAGTGGAAATGGTGCTGATTTTGTAGCTGGTTTCCTTTTAGGAGGTGCACTGTTTGGAACATTGTCATATATATTTGCTCCACAGGTAGTATAAATTAATTTAATCTCAATTGCTATGTCCGATCCCTGTTATTGTTGCTTCTAATACTCCTTTGTGCCATTAGGTTTTTATCACTTTGCGTTATATCTTATTTTTTGAGATGAGTGAAACTTCAACATATGTGTTTGTTTTTTTTTTTTGTTTTTTTTTTTATTTTTATGACGATGTGTTGGTTTTCCCTTGCTTCAACTGAACATGGGGGTAGTTTTATTGCTGAAAAGAATTTTATTTATTTATTTTTGGAGAATGCATCATCAATTTGTACTGGACTTACACTATGATGCTCCAAGATGAAAAGGGAATGATATATTGTCGGAGCTTGACACAGTAATTGAAGTTGACTAATAACTTCACCCCTTTCTTTTACCATGAAAACCATGTTACGGTTGGTTCATATATAACATTATTGTTTATTATTTTTTATTTCCTTAATTTCTTGCTTTTGGTTTGTTAATTACCGAGCTTTTCTGTGCCAATATTAGTTTTCTTAACCAGCTCATAATTAACCAACTCAGCTGTAATCAAATGAAAATGCCAATATGTATAATATTTGTAATCATAATGAAAATGTGAGTGCGTTTTAACATTTACAGTCATAATGGAAATCCACTATCATATGTAGATTAAGGTAATATTCCAATTTGTGGACCAAACTTGTTTTCTATAATGTTATTTGTGATGGATTGTGATGTATGATGCCACAGCATGTTCTCAGAAAATTAGAGAAAATAGTTCCGAAACACCTAATCATAACGAAGACTTACTTTGCAACTTTTGAAATTGCAAACATTGCATCCAAATTCACAATGTTTTCATGTTTAGTATGGTCTTCCGTTCATTTCCGAGTTCTATCATACATAGGTAGGAAAAAAATTCTTTAACTGAGCTGTTAAGTTCGAACTTTGTACTATGGAAGGAAAAACATTTGTTATTGATATCCTTGTAATGGAAGCTTCTGAAAAAAATCTTTTGAGGGTTTAAAATTTACAGGGAGTGAATGATTTATTTAATGAAATGGAACGGGTTGCTTAAAAAGCCTAAATGCAACTTGACAAATGAAAATATTAATTATTTGCTTTGCTTTTGATGGATTATTAGATAAGAAGATCGTTGTTGAATGAAGACGAATATGGATTTAGAAAGGCTAAGCGACCAATTTACTACGATGAAGGATTAGAGGTAATTGTTATACTTCACATATCTACCTGACTTTTATTGGACGGTAGTTGTTATGTGTGTGTGATTTTTTCATAGCTTCCTGCAATTGTCCCCCCTAGGGATGACAATGGGATTGGGTAGATCCAGTCCGGACCCGACCCATTTATTTGGATCGGGTCCAATTATTCGGAAATTTGGTCCGGGTCCGGGTCTGGGTCTGGTGTTGTCTACCTTTGTCGGGTCTTGAGTCCAAAAGTGGACCCTACCCGGATTTGGATCCATCATGAATCCGATTAATATATTAATTAACATATGAAAAAAATATTTTTAATAATATAAATTATATTAAAAATATATTTTTAGTTTAATTTAGTTATTTTTTATTATTTTATTATAATATTTTTGAATAAAATATATAAATTTTAATATATGTCGGGTTCCAGTTTGGGTTTAATTTTAAATAAAATTTTAATAATTGTAAAAGATTTTTCGGGTCTGACGGATCCATCAAATCTTGTCTTGTATTGTTGGGGTCGGATTCAAGTATTGTCGGGTCCGGGTACAATCTAATTTGGATCTCGGATCTGGGTATGGTCTGGCCCGGGTACAATCGAATTCGGGTCTCGGGTCCGGTTGGATCCAATCCATTGCCATCCCTAGTCCCTCCTCCCATTTGAGTGGACACATTTTGGTGTATCTCTCTTAGGGGAGACTCTTGTTTTGATTTGATTAATTTTCATTTTTCGAAATTCAGAAGACCAGGCAGACCTTGAACGAGAAAATAAGCCAACTCAACTCTGCCATCGACAATGTCTCGTCCCGGCTGAGAGGTGGCAACAATCTTCCTCAGGTCCCAGTTGAGAACGACGCAGAAGAAGCTGCCCCCTTGTAAGCTTTTCTTACATCTCAACACTTGCTCGTTCGTATCATAATATACATGTTTACAATTTGTTTGGTGGGCATCGTGAGATAAGTCGAATGTTCTGTGTTTTGTTCCGTCTCGTGAAAGATGTCGAATACACATTCCATCTTTGAATAACAAACAGGTACACTACTTACTGTTTACTTTTAAAAGACTTGCCTTTTCATTTAGGCTTTGTGTGCTCCAATAGATTCAATTAGCATATCTGATTCTGCCGTGCCTTGACTGCTTACCGATACGGAAAAAGCACTGAGTAAACTCCTAGCCGAGTCACACTGGACAAATCTTGTGTGACCGGCAAGATCAAGAGGAGTTTTGAACTCATAACTCATGATTCCGAGTTCACATTTTTTTTTTTAATTTTATATTTTTAATATGATATGGGATACTCAGCTGGATTAGCCTCTATTGCACCGAATGGCTTGCAAATTAGACCAGTAAGGCAAGTCACTGTATATGAACTGTGTATGTGATGTTAAGTAGGGATGGACAAAAAGATCAAGCCGAATCGTCGAATTGTTGAACTAAACTGAACTTTCGGTTAACCGACCAAATTTGGTTTGAATACAAATATTGCATATTTGATATTTGTTCGTTCAGTTCGGTTTTGGTTTTTGATATTTTTTTTTAACCGAACCGAATATTTTTATATTATTATTTTTTAAAAAATTTATACTAATAATTATATTCGATTCGGTTTCCGTTTAAATATTTGAAATATTTGTAAATATTTTTATTTAATTAGAATTTTAATTATTATTTAATATATATTTTTTAAATTTCGGTTCGATTCGAATTATTTGCAAATATTGCAAATATTTTTGTTAACCAAAAATTCGATTAATCAAATTTATTTTTTTGGACACGGTTTGCGATTTTGGGTATTTGTTCGGTTCAGTTTAAATATTAAATATCTATATATTTGCAAATACCTGAACAGTTCGCACCCCTAATGTTAAAGGTTTTAGATTTGATAATTTAAATGTGAAAGAGACTTTAGTTAGTTGGGGTTATGTTAGTATAGAATGAATAATCGAGACATGATATGTGTGAAAACAAACACCCAAACAAATTGTAGCCCCAATTCTCAAATTTAGTGTGGCCAATGGTTGTGTAGAAATTGGGTGTGATAAGACTTATTTAATTTATGATGTAAAATAGATTTAAATATGTGTTTTAAGTGTTTTTAAAATTATATATCAATAATATATATGATTTTTTATTTTTTTTTTAGTAAAATAAAGTTTTATATAATACAAATATTCAAAATCTATCTATATACATAATAATGTAGATTAATTTTGTAAAAATATATAATTTAGAATATATATTACAGAGGAAAAAATGAAAAATAGTTGTGTTCTTTCTGTAGTTTTACTACAAATTTTTATTATTGAGGTTTATTTTTTATTAATTAATTTTTTTTAAATATCAAATCAAATAATTATTTTTTTATATTATATTATAAATTTATTTTATATTTAAAATATCATATTAAATTTTATTTATATTATATTAAATAGTTATTTAATATTTTTACTATTTAAAAATTCAAGTTCAAACCCACAATCACACATACGTGATTCTAGTTTAAGAAATAGTTGAGAAAGAAATGAAGAGCAATGAACTATGAACTGAAAACTAAAATATTCTATCAAATATTATTTTTATATCAAATTCAAAGCAAATTTTTTCCAAATTTATAAAAAAGAAACACCTGATCTGCATTGAAATTTAATTAAAATAATTATATTATTATTATAAATTAATGATATTAATTAAATATTAATTTTCTAAACTGAAAATTTTTATTCAGCATAGGATCTTTAGCCAATTTAATACAGTGGGTTGAAATTGTTTTTAAAAATTGTAAAATAAATGTTTTATCAAAAAATATTTAAAATATTTTATAATTATATTTGAATAACATTATATAATTAAATCATATTTTATGATTACTTATAGTCTTATATAATGGAGTACAATATTTGACTATTATTTATAATAAAATAAAAGTACTATGCAATTATTCTTTAAATTTTCTGTCATAATAAATATACATCTACTTGCATGCGACCCGACCCGACCCGACCCGATTTATGTGACGCGTTTCATTTCGTTTTTAGTTTATTTTCATTTTTGTATCGGCAAAAGAATAATAAAAATAAAGAAAATAAAAAATAAAAATAAAACCCCTTCTCTTTTCTGCTTCGCCTCCAAGGAAACATTTTCACGTTCTCTGTCTCTCTCTCTGACGTGCACGGAATCGTAGAGATGCACGAACCGGAGCTTAATGATCTGTCAGATGATGCCGACTACGCGGCCTCGATGCAACAGGTATTCTAGATTTGTGTATTGCTGCTGCTTGCTCCCCTTGTTTAATTGATGCTTGGTTAATCCGATCGTTATGTGACTTGACGGCTAATGCGGGAGTTGAATTTGTGGCTGTTTATCGCGTTTCGATTGACGATTTTGGTGTACAAATGACTTTTTTCATCGTTTATTTATTGATTAATTGAATGGTGTTTCTGTCGGTGAAACCGAACTTTTGGTTATGCTAGGGCTCTGCCAGCATGATGCGGTGCGACAGCGGCAAACGGAGCACATCGAGCGATTCGGAGGGGTTGGAGATAGTTTACCTGAAGGATAACGTGGCAATACATCCGACGCAGTACGCATCTGAGAGAATTAGTGGTCGGTTGAAGTTGTTTAAGCAAGGGAATGCTCTTCTAATGGTACTACTTTTGTGTTTATCTTTATCTATGAGGGACTTAGTGATGCTGTTGTGGTTTTTGATTTCATGTTATAGAGCATCTGTCTTGACTATTGTAGAATAGTATGAGCCTTTTTGATTTTAGGTTAATGTTACTGAATCTTATGTAATAGTTGCTGGATTAGTGTAGTCAGAATCAAAATGTGTCTCACTTTTAAGAAGTGTTTTGACATGAGAATTCGAAAAAAAACTGTATTGGTTGATTTTGATGGAAGACATCACCTTTTATTATACTACCTCTATACTTTTTCTTTTTCTTTCAGGCTGTCAATAAAAAAATGTTTGGTTTAGATTTTAAGTAAAAAATCATACTGCCTCCATCATTCAAATATGTACTCAAATGGTTGAGCACAAGTTATAATAAAAATGGATATTAATTGTTACTTTTTGTTTTTTATAGTAAAAAAGTACAAAATATTTTTTTACTAAAAAAGAATTGAGTTTATATATATATTGTTTATGACAATTCAAAAAGTAAAATGAACATAGATTTAGATGGCGAAAGGAATATCATTTTTTGTATTTTTTACTATAAAAGACAAAAAGTATACATTTACATTAAAACCTATATCCAAAAATATGAACACACGTTTAGATGACGGATGGAGTATCATATTGTTCCACTATTATTCTTGAATTTTCTTGTTAAATTTTACGTCCAAGCCACATGAGGGTTACAAGAAGATAAAGTAACATGTTTTTAGGGATTGCTAGGATATTTGAAATTTTAACCTTTTGCATTTGTATTTCGATTTAGACATGGATTCCATACAAAGGACAAAGTTCAAGTGCAAGGTTGTCGGAGAAAGGTTAGGCCAAAATTGTATTTTTTTATGTATTGTATACAAAAACATGTCATCAGCATCATACATATTACTTGGTTATTTCCCCTTTATTTGTGCAGATAAAAATCTATATACCATTCGGGCTGTGCCATTTTCAGAAATCCGGTCAATACGCAGACACACTCCAACACTAGGCTGGCAATATATCATTGTAGTTATGTCATCAGGTACGCGTATTATCGACCAGTGATTTGAATTTGGAAGTGTTCTTTTGTCTACATAGCATCTTTTGTTTCTTTTTGTTCTATACCAATTGTTAGTTACATAAATCTCTAGATCTGTATGATAAACGAAATCCATGTGAACTCGGTTAGTTTTGGTTCATTAAAATTTGATAAAATCTCATTTGATAAGTTAAGTAAGCCATGTTCGACCATGTAATTGACATGCATATATAAGCACAATCTGTATAGCACATTTTTATCAAAAAAACATTATCATGCAAGCACAACCTCATCTGACAAAGATAAAATATCTTCTATTTACTGAAAATAAATATTTGAGGTTGATAAATAGATAAATATATAAAAAAGTGCTTCACCTCGCGACAGTGTGAAGGCCCGTGATAAGTAGTAGTGCAGTGATTGGTGAAACTGAAGATAGAGTGGCTGAGCTTATGGAAGGACTTTAGGTAGAAGCAGTAGAAGTAGAGGGTTTTATGCAGAAGTAGTGGTAAGGAAGTAAGAGAAGTAGAACATTTTAAGGCATATTTTAGGGTTCTGTCTCTAATATATTTGCACAATATATACATAAAAACACACACACACACACATATATATAATTAATAGCACCGTAGTACCTCTTGATGAGGCATGCTTGACTGGAAGAAATGGTGCAACAGCCGTGCCATTTACAAGTACAAGCTCAAACACGAGCTTTAGCTCACTACGCTTGTGAACAAGTTTCAGCATTGTTCATGAACATTCAATATGATGTATTTGGAGGAACATAAAAGATTGTATGATAAAAACATAGGTAAATAGAAACACAAAGCAAAACACCCGTAGATTCAAGATTTTCCTTAGTTAAAAATGAAAATCCTTAATTAATAACTTGTAAATAATTGTATATTGGTTAATAAACCAAGCTGAACCACGTTTGAAATTGAGCTGAACCAAATACTTCAAAGTTGTAACAGCCAGAGCTCAAACTAAAAAATTGTTTAGTGAGCTCAAGTAACATTCTCAGTTGATTCTCTTATTGCATGAACACAAACTGAGTTCAAGTAATAAACACATGAGATCAAAATGGAAAGCACCACTTATTTAGGCTCACTAACATCTCGAATACTTAACATTGATTTTTGGTGAGTTGCCTTTAGTTACAACTTATAAATTGGAGTAATATTGTCAGCTTCTGACTTGTGAGTAAGTGAAGTACTATTAGGATGATTAATATGCATGAGATGGATCCTTTGCCTACCATTATTGTGTATTAATTTTGTTTCTCTGGCTAGGCATTCGACTTGGACTATACTTGAAGTAGTATAGTTTGTGTGACAGACAGTACTGTCAGAGAATCGGATGACAGATGTGGTGTTTTTTGGATGGATATTTGGAACACATTGTAGATTGTATAGTGTGAATATGTTAACAAAAACACAAGTAAACACAGTACTTAGGTTTTTCGATGGAGTATTGGGTTTGGTTGTTTCAATTGAACACATTTTCTGGTATTTCCTCATGGTCTGAGGCAATTCTTAGTCATCAAAGATGATAGTTGTGCCAGAAAGTCATGGATTGTGCTATGAAGTAGAACAAATTGTCTATCACTGTTGGTGTTGCTCTTTATAGTGTGATGATGTTTTTAGTCATCATGATTATCACCTTCTATCTTGAACTTGGGACGTGTGGTGTTCAAATTGAGTAAATGTGTTCCTCCTAATGTTCTATTTCCCATACAGAATTATAATTTGTTGCCTAATTTTTGGTTTATATGTCGTGGGAATTTTAATAGTTTGGTGGAAATGTGGTGTAAGTTAACTATGATAGAGATTTCTTTTTATTTCTTTGTTTATTGTTGAATTCTTACATGCAAAATGAGTGTTCTGTTGGGTGTATTTTCAAACAATTTCATTTATGCCTCTTCTATGAAGTGTTAATTTATTTGATTTTCCTTTATAATTCTTGTTTCTAATATCCAATTCTTGTGCTAGGCAGTATCAATATATTATTTTACTTTTCTTTATTTTTTATTCTTTTTTCCCCAAATAAAAACAGAATCTAATCATGTTAATTTAGTTATTTATTAGTATTTAAAATGTGTGATATGGCGATGTGAAAATGATTTATCATAAGCTAATTTTATGTAATGGAATGACTGCTTGTTTTTGTTATTTTGTTAAATATATCATTTGAAATTTATTTATTATTGTCAATTTGTCCATGTATTATTTTGTGAACATGTTTTCATATAATTTTGACTGAAGTTTGACATCGTGTGCACCAAATTGTGTACGGTTTTGTCACTCTTTTAACTGTTGGTAATCATGGGTTTGATGGGTCCGAGAGGTCATATGTAATATATTCTATGTGGGTTGGTTTGGGTTTTAAATGGCTCATTTACTTTACAATATATATACACACATATATAGTATACTACTGGATGTTGAATACGAGACATACTTGAGGAAACTTTATGAATACTTGCCAAGTTGCTTTCTGTGATAGGATACAACAAGTAAATTAAAAAGTTAGTACTGTTGCCAACGGTTGGAGGCATTCAACTTTAATCACATGATTATTATATGTTCTGAATGCGCTTTGAAATTTGAATTGATGTTTTGGGGTTTAGCATAATTGGATATCTTGGATCTGTAAATTTATCTGTTTTTATTAAATTTTATTAATTCTACTCTATACAATGCTTCATGCTCTTTTCTTCTACTTTCTGACTCAAGTAAAAATGTAAAATATACTTGAAATAATTCCATTTCATTTTTTGTTCTTTCTAAGCCTAATTCCTATCCTGTGGCAAGGCTTCATTCATTAAGAGTGATGTAGGGTCGATGTAATGTTCTTACTCCGACTGGATAAGAAGTTTGAATGTCTTATCTATTAACTCTCACTTTGACAACTAATATTTTATTAGGCACTTGTATGCTTGTATACCATTTCATGCTATGCTTAGTAGGGTTCAGTTTCAGGATTCTTTGCTCTTTCTCTTGTGGCATTCAGTGCATACAATTCCTTTTTTGTTGTTAGATGAGAATTTTTATTGAAATAAACTTACACCTTGGTAACTTTTAGGACTTGCATTCCCTCCTCTTTATTTCTACAATGGAGGAGTTAGAGAATTTCTTGCCACCATCAAGCAGCATGTTTTTCTTGTGAGGTATGTGGTTACCATATTAGTAGATTCTTTTTACTCAAATTATATTCTTATGCTGCAAGTTAAAAAAGCATGTTGTTTACCCATAATTACAAACTGTTTATCAATGCATTGTAGCTTGGAGCTGTTCGGAATCATGTGTCACAACTTTCTATGGACTTTTGAAGTAGTGTTTGGATGGTCTCTAATTCTTGCACTTTTTTAATTGCCTAGGGACCATACCAGTACTTATTTTCACTTTCCCCCTTGCCTTGTAATCTTCAGCTTAAAATAAATGATATCTGTTACCCTGAAATATTGGAAGAATGAGTGATTAAGTGTTAGGTTGCAGATTCAATTCTTGCTCTTGACCTTGTTTAATAAAGAACTTACGAGTCTTAGATGAATGTAAGATGTGCTCTCCCTTTACAATCTATGGAACTGAAAACTAGCTCTGTAAAATTTTCCTAGAACATAGGTTATTGAAGAAAGAAATCTTATTTTCTGCAGTTACCACACCTGGGTATTAAATGCAGTGTAATAGTTGATTTGGTGCCCTGCTCTTTCTCTTTATATTAAAATTGTGAATTTGTGATAACATGCTGCCTTTCCCATGTTTTTTTTGGTGAAATCAATTTGACTGAGCCACATCTTTCTTTCATTCTACATTTGTTGAATGTACACTTCTCTTTTGTTGAAGTTCCGAGGTTTTTCAGGATTTAGCTGTGTGATGCATGGAAAAACTGGGTTTTGATGCTATTTTCACCTTAAGTCTTTGTGAAATCAGTGTGAGTTGATATTATATATTTATATATTGACAACTGTTTCTATATTTCCAGATCGACAGAAGATGCAAATGTCTTTCTTGTGAATGATTTTGAAGATCCTCTCCAGGTCTGTTGTAGATTAGTTTCAATTTGCTGTAAGTTGTATTAGGAGCATCAGAATTTGGTGTGTAACTGTCCACGCATAGCTAATCTACCTTTAATATCTGACATATTTCATTCAGAGAACACTGTCTTCCTTGGAGCTTCCTAGGGCTGTTTCAGTCTCGAAAGTTCCTTCCCCTGTTGCGACTACTGAATCATCTTCCACTGCTGAACAAGAAATGGGTGAATCTGATAAAAGAGTGACCAGTTTTCAGCAAAATGGCAAGCAGAAGCCAAGACAAAAACATCATGATCCTGCTCGGGATATTTCAATTCAAGTTTTGGAGAAATTCTCACTTGTTACTAGATTTGCTCGTGAAACAACTTCCCAGCTCTTCCGGGACAATAGTATCGATGGGTTTCCTCCTATTGAAGGGAGAAAGCATGGTCAGTGGTCAGAGGCATACCATGACAAACCATCAACAGATTCTCAAAAAGTCGCTGATGAGGTTCCTGCAATACCTGATCCAGTAGAGGTATTATCTTTTTTCCTTCCATTACAATTTAGATAGGTTTTGAACTATTTTGCATTTTTTTTTTGGTTTGTAATATTTTTATAAATTTTATAAAGGATAAAAGAGGAAATATTCCGCAAATAAAGACATTTGCAGATTTTTAGGATATTCCAAATTAGAAACAATAAAGATTTGAAACGAAGTCTCATTATATTTGTTTTAAGGAGAGATATAGTAGGTCAAACCCCCTTGAGAAATGTTTTTTGTTTTTTATTATTTTTTGTGTATAATAATTGGTTAAGGGGAGGAAATAGTTAAATATGCGATTGGATGACAAACTTGTTAGATGATGTAAATGACCATCTCACCTAAAAATTTAAGCTGTTAGAGATACGCATCAGGGTAGGACTCAAACACGAGACTTATGACTATGATATCATATTAGATAATGTAAATAACCGTCTCACCTAAAAGTTTAAGCAGTTAGGGATACACAATCATTTATTTATTTATCACATACGGGAGTCAACCAACAAAACTGTTTCAAGTATGTCTTTGAAATATTAAATTTTGTCTATGATTAAAGTTGTAGTGCAGGAGTGTCTCCTCAAAGTTTGTAAATGTTGCATCTTAGCTATAGGCTGATTATATCTCCAAAATACAAGGGAAGGTTGTCATACCACACCTTTGAAAGAGATCAAATTTTATAACACCTTTTGGATGTTGATTATGGAATGTTTGTTACACGAAACATAAAACTGAATGTCTCTAACCTCTGGTGTTAGAGATAATCAATCTTGGCTTAAAATTTTGATGTAAGTTCAATATATATATCATGGAAGGCATCTATCATTTTTCACTTTTCAGTTAGTAAACTTTCTTACCAAACCTTTATCAGTGATTTTCAGATGGCAAGCCTTCATAGAATAACTTCTTTATCTTGGATGCCTGGCTTCATTTATTTGAACTTTCTTCTCCCATCATTCATGTGTTAACTTATGCAAGTGATTGGTAATTTATAACAATTTTCTGTTGTGATAAATTATGTCTATTACTTATCGTTTCCTTGACTCTCTGATGATTTGTGTAAATTGCAAAACCATTTCTTTGATCATTGGCAGACGGATAAATTGTCACTTGTGTGGGGGAAACCACGGCAGCCACCATTAGGGCAAGAAGAGGTAAGTGTTTATGTCTAATGATGTGTGCTGAAATTCTATACTGAATTGAACATACCTTTTTGTCTCTCTCTCTGTCCTTTCATGATGATGCCACTCCTATAGTTTAGTTAGCTCTAATATATCAAGGTTGAACTAATTTATACCTTATTCCTGAAGGTATAGGATGTCGTGGAAGTTTTAGTTCTAGTCGCTCAAAAGGACATTATATTCTTGATCCGAAACTTTTACCTAATGTTTGTTTCAGTATTGTTTGAACTTTGTTCTATAATGCTTCTTTTAACATATCAATATTTCATATTAATAGGCTGTGCTAATATATTCTTATATTTATAATATTAGTATTAGATATGGATTAACTATGATAATTGTTATTTATTAAACACAATTTCAGATATTTTTAAAATTTAATTTTATTAACATTCTAGTTTCTTAATGGGATCCAATTTGCACCAGTTCGTTGCCATTTTCGTTTTATCTTGAACCTGCAGTAAAGATCCTTCAATTGTTAATTATGCCTATATACATGCTATATTTATATATCTATAAAGACGATCGTTGAACGGGAAAGGGAAAGAGTGTATTTTTTGGTTGAAAATTCTGAGGATGAAGTGGTACCTGGAACAGTATAAAATCTAGATAGAGGTGACGTAGCTTCAACATTTTGGGAATGCGCTTTTGCTGGCGTCATTTTTAAAGGTGTAATTGGTGTGCTGATGCACTTATTTTTCTCAATTCTGGTTCTCTCAATTAGGGGCACAGTTTTGGTTGAATGGCTGACATTTTCTTTTCTGAAATAACGCCATGTATTGTCCTCATGGAATTAATGCTAAAGAAATATGTTTCATGACTCTGTACTCAAACAACCAAGAAATATGTGTGCTTGGTTTTCCTATCCAGGCCATATTGGAAACATACAATTTACAAAGCAGTTATATGTACATGTAATCCAACATCTGCTGCATTTGACTTCGGAGATATTTAATTAAATATTATATTTTGTATTTTGTTTACCTGAGTTGAATTTTTAATGGCAGTGGAATAACTACTTAGATGCTGAGGGCCGGATAATGGACTCAGAAAAATTGAAAAAGAGAATCTTTTATGGAGGAGTGGAGCATATTCTGCGGAAGGAGGTTTGCATATGAGAAGATTTTGATTCATGCAATATGTTGAACACTTGAAGTTTGAGATTGTTGATTTTTCACTTATTCCTGTGGGACTCATTGCCTTCAATTTACAGGTTTGGACATTCTTGCTAGGATACCACTCATATGACTCCACATATGCAGAGCGAGAATACCTCATATCTGTAAAGAGAGAACAGTATGAAACTATAAAAAAGCAGTGGCAGGTTTGTCATCAGTCTTGGTTGATTTCTGGTATTAGTTTTAAAATATGTTGTCACTTCATCAGGGAGAAAATGTTACTAGTGTATAGATACTGAATGTGATCTAGTGTTTCATGATTGAACGGAGCTTATTAAAATATGTGGTCACTTCATCAGGGAGAATTTCTATCTAGTGTAAAGATACCGAATGTGTCTTTAAATGATTAACTTGCTCAAATATTCACAAAAGCCGTTAAGAGGTTCTAGATCTGAGTTCATATGTAACAAGCTTGAATTGTATGATTTGTACACTCTAGCTTGAGGGGGAGCTTAGATTAGGTCCATCACTTATGATCAGTTTAGGTCCATTTAAACTGTGTATAGTTACAGTTATCTGGTGGGTCGTGTAAATTCCTCCATTATTGAGAATATAATAAAATTTTACAGGAAGCAAATATGGATCATATCTGAAAAAACAGAGTGCTCTAGTTTGTCTTGGAATCATCTATTATAAACTTCAATGCGGTGACATCAGTCATTTGATCCTATTGATTCTGTCCTCTCTTACATAATATTACATTCCTTGTCTATTCAGAGCATCTCACCAGAGCAGGCAAGAAAATTTACAAAATTCAGAGAGAGAAAAGGGCTTATAGATAAGGATGTGGTATGCTCCAATTTTTTTTTTTCCATCTACAGCAATGGTTTAGCTAGACTTTGATTCTCATCAGGACACTTTGTTCTTTTTCAAGGTGAGGACGGACAGGTCACTGTCATTCTTTGATGGGGATGACAATCCTAATGTATATCTTTTACGCGACATACTGTTGACATACTCTTTCTACAACTTCGATCTTGGGTATTGTCAGGTAGTCAATGCTAATTCTGCAACTTGTGAAAATCCTTACTTCAGCACTGTTTCACATACTTTTATGACTTTGTTTATGTTTGACATTCAGGGCATGAGTGATCTTCTTTCTCCTATTTTATATGTAATGAGAGATGAATCAGAATCTTTTTGGTGCTTTGTTCATCTTATGGACCGGCTTGGACCTAATTTCAACCGTGACCAGAGTGGGATGCACTCTCAACTTTTTGCATTGTCGAAGGTCTCTCTCATTCTATCTCTCTCTCTCTCTCTCCCTCTCTCTCTTGTGTACGTGCCTACTAGGCTTCTACGCATTTTGTTTATTTTTATTTTATTATATGGTGAGATATTTAAGTGTTTTTATACCCATGCTGTGAAGTTACTTAGTGTCACAATAAAGAAATTATGCCCTTAATTATCCAGGTTGATTTCTTTATTTGCAATATATCCTATATATTTAAGGGAAATAAGGTTATGGAAGATGTTTGAGAATTCGGCTTACTCTTTCTTTAATCATTATTATTTCTGTAAATATTCATATAATTCTTTTTACTGAGATAAGATTGTTATGCTAAAGTATGTTTTGATTTTATGAAGGTTTGGAAGGCGGTTTTGAGAATTTGAATAGTCTTATTACAGAAATGAAAATGATATAAATGACTTAAGCCAAATTCTCAAACATCTTCCATAACGTTGTTTCCCTTGGGAAAGAGAACATATAACGTAAAATAAAGGAAAAAAAATTTAACCTTACAAAGGTTTTGGAAGATGATTTTGAGAATTTGACTTGTCTTATTTCCTTAAAAAAATCATTCCCATCCTTGTAGGGTGTGTTTGTTTGGGGATTTGGATTTTGAGTTGGGATTTGAATAGTAAAAATTTTGAATTTGAATAGTTGTATGATGTGATATAAATAGGTGTTGATGTGATGTTTTGAATGTAAAATTGATTTTTAGTATAATATAAAAAATGAAAAATAGGTGTTTTATTTGATGTTTTTGGGGGGAAAAAATTGGATGAATAGTAGAAATCTAATTAAATCCCCCAAACAAACACACCCGTAGTGGAGATCTAAATTTACGTACCTGAAACAAAAATACTGAGGTCACAGTCAAGCCCTATCCTGGAAGTTTCAGATATATAGCTCGCTAAGGTTCACCAAGATAGTCGATGTTTTTTCTTTTTCAAGATTTTGCAGTTTAATCTATAATGCATGTCAGATGTTGAGAAGTTACACAACTTATTATATTTGTTTAGTTGAGCTTATAGATTATAGGGAAGTCATAAATGATCTTTTAGAAGGAAACATGTGGGGTTTCACCGTGTTTCTTATTTTCTGGATATCTAGTAGCTGTATGTGTATCTTTCAGTCTTGCTAGTCTCACTCTAGACTTTTTAGGTAAAACTCATGTTCCTAGTGAGATTAAAGTAAGCGAAATCCATTGTTGCACTTGTCTGATCAATCTTTTGCTTTATGGGTGCAGCTTGTTGAGCTGTTAGACAATCCATTGCACAACTACTTTATGCAGAATGATTGCTTGAACTATTTCTTTTGCTTCCGCTGGATTCTGATACAGTTTAAGAGGTAAGAAAGAGTGAATACTGTGTCTGGTTTTTATGTGCTCTATTCGCCATGCTGTTCGTAAACCTTTCATTAATTATCAATCAAAACATATGACATCCACACCTAAAACCGTTAGTTCCTCGATGATGCTCCAAACTATGTTCTTATGGGCTGCTTAGTAATGAGAACTATATATCGATGGATGTTCCAAATTCTAAGTCATTTAATATTACCTCAATTCTTGTTATATATGATAACTATCAACTGCTAGGACAACATTTATGACAAGCCTTGTGTTTTCTTGCAAGTCGTCTGAACTCGTTACTACATCTGTTTTATAGGGAATTTGAGTATGAGGCGACAATGCGCTTGTGGGAAGTTCTATGGACTCACTATTTGAGCGAGCATCTACACCTTTATGTCTGTGTTGCAATCCTCAAGAAGCACCGCAATAAGATTATTCAGGAAAAGATGGATTTCGACACGCTCCTAAAATTTATCAATGAGCTGAGCGGTCACATTGACCTGAACGCAACTCTGAGAGAAGCCGAAGCCCTGTGTATTTGCGCTGGCGAGAATGGCGCAGCTTGTATTCCTCCTGGTACGCCTCCTTCACTCCCAATCGAGGATGATTCTTCCGCGTACCCTCAGTTGGAAGATGATGTTCTATAGGACCATCGGAATTCAGATGGAAATTGTTGAAGACGACGATCCTTTTGCTACTGTAAGTAAAGTTCCAAATATTATAGATATACATATTCCATGAATTTGAATTTGTCAAAATAAATTTTGTCTAGTTTGGTTGAAGTGAAGTATTATGCATCATCATGACCTTGTCGTATCTTTTCCTCTCAGTATTGAAGATTGAAATTGATGTTTTTAGTGTTTAGTTCCTCCGGGCATGCTTGCTATTTTGAGTCCCGTCGTATATTTCTTGTTTCATTCCTTTTTGTGAAAATTTTTTAATCATGTTTTTTTTTTTTTTTTTTTCATTATAAATTATAAATTATATTTAAACTAATTAATTGTTGTAAAATGATTATTTTTAAGAATATATATTTTTAATTATTTATTAGTTATGTGTGTATATGACAAATACTTCCCGTGACAATTCCATTAGTACGATGTTTCAATACATTTTACTCCTTATTTTGGCCTTTTGATTTGAACCTATATGGAAAAAAATAAAATAAATGTTTCCTCTCATCGGTGGTTGTTTTAATGGTATTATATTTGAGATAAAGATATATTTGTGTATATATATCAATTTTCATATATTGAAAATGGATATTAATTATATGAGCAGCATATTAGTATTTTTTTTCTCTAATAAAAATAGTAATAATAAGCTATTTGGCTTCTCTAAATTGGGGCTAGTTCAAATTTTATTTATTTAATATTATGTTTAGATATATTTTTACTCGCGTCTTCATATTTGAATATTAATTATTATATCAAAACATAGTCATTGTAAAAAGTAAATGTGATTTTTAGAGGCAGACGAGGGGAGTATATTATATTAATGTGTGTATATTTGTATTTTTTAATAATATTTATGAGGAATTGTTTCATTAAAAAATGTTGAGTGAACAGACATTTATATAAAATTAGATACTTTGTTATGGAACATAGGAAATATTAATATTTATTTATATCATATCAAATAATTATTTAAATTCAGAATTTATCATTTAAAACTAAATATAAAACCTAAATTTTCAAACAAACAATATGTGGTGTGTGTTTATTCAGCGACCGATACTCCCACATTTACCTTTTGCGTCATTGTACTTGATATTAAAAATATCTTTATATTTATATAATTTTTCATTTACAAATGTCATTCTATTAGTATTATAAGACACTAATGGAAGTATTTTGCAATTTTCTCTTAATTTCTATTACATTTTTATATAACAATTAATATTAAAATATCAAAACGCAAAAAGTAAATGAGACTCTTAAAGTCGGAGTATTATTTTATTTAAATTAAATAAAACTCGTTATTAATTAAAGTTAAATACAATAATAGCTACATTATGCATAATTATTCACTCATTAATAAAGTAAATATTGCATTATTTTACCTCAAAATTATTTAATTATTAGAGGATAAATATACTGAATGAACAAACCCTAACTAATAACAAAAATTATTTAATTGGTTGGTCATATCATAGGAATATTCTCATGAAAAAACGCTACACAAAAGTCTCACAACATCCCTCCAAAAGTTTTGATAAATTTGGACAAGTTTTTTGCATGCCTTAAAAAAGCCCTTCTTTGATCTAATCATAGAAACTACTATCTCCGTCTCAATACAATACTCTTGTTTATCATTTTTATCTGTTTTAAAATAATAGTCTCATTTCTATAAATAATTGTATCACTATAAAATTACCTTTACTTTTTCATTACTATTGTACAATTGCCACTACTTTTTACACTAATATTTCACAAGGGAAAAAAATTCTTTTACCCATATTTTTTACCTATTATCAATATAATATCAATATTCCTTAAATCTTATGTCAAACGCAACCCAAACTATAGTTTTGAAACAGAGGGAGTAAATAATAATAACAAGGATTTGTACTACACACATTTCTTGATTCTATGCAAGAATCTTTACTCTTGATGAGAATCCAAAGTTTAATTAGGCTAAAATCTCGTGATAGATTTCGACAAAATTTTATTTGAATGACACAAAAAATAAAATATATTATTAGAAAAGTAAAATTACTTCATATAATTCTTAATAAAAATACTATTTAAATAAAAATTCAGACTTTAAATTGTATCTGAGTCAAAAGAAAATACGACAAATAAGCAGTTATAGTAGTATTCTTGAGTAGTTTCTATTATCTTACTTTTAATGTCAAGCTTTTATGAAAGCAAAATTTAATGGATTCGATGCGCTTTGAAGTTTCGTATCGTATGAACTTTGCGAAATGATAGTTTAAAATAAAGGGATTGAATAATTGGTTCAACAACTATCTTTGAATGTGTTACAAATTATTAAAAATTTTCGTACTCCCTCCGTCCCATTTAAAGGTTACCATTTTTTATTTTCGTCCGTCCCAAAAGAAGGTTATCATTTCCTAATTTAGTAATTATACTACCTACATAATATAATAAATACCCTTTCAACTTACAATATATTACACAAATATCATTACTTTTATATTACATCGTACTAATAGCGGTATTTTTGTCTTTTTTTACTACAATCCAATATAATATTAATATTCAAAAATCTACGTGCAAAAAGCAAACGTCACCCTTCTAACGGGACGGATGGAGTAATATATTTGCAAATTATTACTGTCTCCGTCATTCAAATGTGTGCTCATTTGATCGGACATATTTTAATAAAAATGAGTAATAATTGTTAATTTTTCAATTTATAGTAAAAAAAAAGTACAAAAATAGAATAATTTTTTACTTAAAAAAGAAATGAGAATATTTTTCGACGACAAACTAAAAAGGAAAATAAACATAAATTTAAATGACAGGAAAACTAAAATGGTGAGTCAATATATTAAGATCAAAAATTGATTTTATACTAAAGATTATATCCTCATTATTTCTATTTATTTATTTCATGAGGGCATTTATCTACTAAACAAAGTTACAGATGTTATCATTTTTTAGTCATAAGGATATAGTACTTTTTTATGTGAGACAAATGTTTTTTTTTTAATATATATATTAAAAAAATCACCTTTAATATCATTAATTAATTAATTAATTAATTAATTAATTAATAGTTGAGATTTAAGAGAGGCAATGAAAAAACACATAGCACCTATTTTTTATTATTGCTTAACATTATCTATTTTATACGTCAATTAATAAAATTTATCTAAGATAAAATAAAATTAAATGAATATCTAATGGTGTGTTTTGTTGTATTTTTATACTAACTATTTGTATTTATATAATAATTTATAAAAAATAATATATTTTTATTAAAAATATAATATAAGAGGTGAAATAAAATACTTATAAAGAACAAAGCTTACGTTAATAATTTTTGAGTAGTAAATACTTATAAAGATATAAATGATAATTAAATAACTAATATATTGATCTTACATATAAATATATATACATTTTATATATATTTGGGTTAGGTTTTTATTATCTATATAAAGAAAATATAAGAAATAACAGATTCAATGTTTATTTTTCATTAGTTTATATAGTAAAAAATTATTTTACATTTAAATAACAAATCGATAATTATTTATATAACATCAAATTAAATAATTATTTTAATTATAAATTTTATTATTCAAAATTTTAAATTCAACTCTTTGATTTATTTGTTTTGGGTTAAATAATAATGTAATATGATATTACTCTGTCCCATGTAATATGAGTAGATACTAAAATTTAGGTAAAATATAATCAATGAGTAATTAAAAAATATATTAATAAAAATAATTATAGATTAAGATGAAAATAATTAAATATTTAACTAAGATTACAAAAATTATAAAATAGTGATTAAAATGTATAATTATATTTGAAATGACAAATTATGTGGGACGGACAAAAATAGAAAGTATTGACAAATTATGTGAGACGAAAATAGAATTTTGTAAAAGGATGATATTAATATTTTTTATTAAAAATGGTAAGAATTAAATAATAATAATTTTGATTTAAAATCAAAATCAAACAAAAAGCCCTTAATTTAAAGTATGTTTATTCTTATTTTTATCTTATTTTATATTCCACCTTCCCACATAAAATATTACTCCATCCGTCCCATTGAAAGGTTACCATTTTTCATTTTTGTCCGTCCCAAAACAAGGTTACTATTTCATAATTTAGTAATTGTACTACCTACTTCACATAATAAATACCGTTTTAACTTACAATATACTTCCTCCGTCCCAAAAGATTTGTCTTGTTTTTTCATTTTCGTCCGTTCCAAAACAATTATCTTGTTTCCTTATTTAGTAGCCGCCGTCCCCACTTTATAACAAAATTATTCATACTTTTCCATACTACCCCCAATTATTACTCTAACATACTCTTTAAAATTCTTCAAAAAGCAAGGGCATTTTAGTTATTTACATTCTACTTTATACCCACTTTCAATTAAATAGTATTATTCCTTAATTCCCGTGTCAACTCTCAATAAGACACTTCTTTTGGGACGGGGTGACTATTACACAAATGTAATTACTTTTATATTACACCATACTAATAGGGGTATTTTTGTCCTTTTTACTAAAATCCAATATAATACTAATATTCAAAAATCTATGTGTAAAAAACAAATGCCACGCTTGTTGAGGGACCAAGGGAGTATTATTTTTTTTATTTCGGTATATTTCACATAATTTATCTTTTTATTTTTTATTTTTTAAAAAATATGATTATGCATTTTAATCACATTTTAAATTTTATAATTTTTAATTTATTTAATTTTAATTAAATAATTTATAATTATTTTTTATGTCACAGTTATTTTTTAAATGTAATTTTAAATTACTTATCAATTGTATTTTACCAAGATTTCTGTATCTATAATAATACAGATATTTTATCGGGAATGAAGGGAGTATTATACGATCCATAATATATATATATATATATATTTATGAAACATATATTTTAATATATCTATGGTAAACTAAGAGCAATCGTGTTTCAAATGCTTCTCCACACATTACTTATCATTTAGAGAAAGGTCCCTCAATAATAAATTAATTATTTACATGTCTATATATTTATGTGACCTATTAATTATAGGCTTAAATGTTCCTACTTTCAAAAGCATATATTTGATCATAGGAATCATTATTGATATTTCCTCCGTCTCATATCTATCTATCAATTTACTTTTTGTACGAAATTTTAGAAATATTAGTATTATATTAGAATGTAGTAGAAATAAAGGTAAAAAGACTAAATTACTCTTATTAGTATTGTACGATATAAAGTCAATGACATATGTGTAATATATTGTAAATTGAAAGGGTATTTCAGTAGATAATACAGTTACTAAAAAAAAGAAATGGACACTTTGTTATGGGGCGAACAAAAATAAAAAAATGTATAAATTGTTAAGGAATAGATAAAGTATTTATTTAGCTTTTTCATTTTTCTTTTATAGATATATATATTCTTATTTCATCAAAATTACATCAACAGCTGTTTCGAGTTTTTATGGGCTCCCAACAAAAAAAAAAAAAAAAAAAAAGAACTCTTTATTAAAATTATATATATTTATATAAATAATATAAAATTAATAAAAAATTTAATTATTTATTTTTTAAAAAAAATTCATCTATTTGATTTTAATTTTAAATAACTATTTACTCTCGTAAAAATATCATATTAAAATAATTTTAAACTAAAATTCAAATATGAAATTTAAATTTAAATACAAAGCAAACAAACTTTAATATATATATATATATACACGCAAAGATTATACATATATTCAAAATATTTATTTTAGAAAAATTGATAAAAGAAGCTCTCAAAATTTTGGAGCTTTTTGCCTACCCTGGTTATATTAGAAGTACTATTTAAATTTAAAATCAAAATTTTTATTTGTTTATTAAAAAAAAAAAAAAAAAAAAGCACTAAATTTTTACTTTGATATTTATGTTTTACACTTTGAAGAAATAAGAAAATTAAACTATGGTAAATTTACAATAACAACAACAAAATAAATGTAGATGCACCAAAGTAACAAAAAATAATACTCGGTGTTACAATAGTTTATTCATTCAGTTCGATTATAATCAATCTATATATGTGAGGATACTAATTTAGAAGTAAATTTACTATAATTTATATTTAGATTTTAATAACACCAGCAGTCTTTTATTAACTAAAAGTAATGCAGCTTAATAGCCGGTTGAGATAGAAAATCCTAAACTATGTTACAGTAAAACACGACCATGTAAATTTTGAACACGACCATGTGTGTTCGGTCAGTCTGTTGCTGACTATATAAATATGATCGTGTTTGATCCAGATCAAATGCTGCATTGGATCTCTAGCTATATTTATATTAGCATTTTTCGTTAATTTTTCAATATAAAAATAAAAATTGATTTTAATTGTCTATAATAAAAACAAAATTAATGAATTTTGTATATTAAAATTAAAATTGATAGTTTTTATTTTAACATAAACAATTTTATTTTATTTTTCTTTTAAGATGAATGGTGTGTTCTTTTTATGAAAAATTTTTAATATGTTTTTTCAAAAAATTAATATATTATATATATTTATTATTTTTACACTATCTATACAATTTTTGTAAAAAATATCTCTTCAAACCAAAATACAAAACAAACACACCCTTAATATCCCAAAAATTTATTTATTACTCCTTCAGTCTCACTTAATTTGTCAATTTTTTCTATCTCCGTCAATTCGATTTAATTTGTTCATTTTTTTTTTATTTCGATCAATCTCACACAATTTGTCCTTTTTTTAAAAATATATATATATATAATTATAGATTTTAATCACATTTCAAAATTTATAATTTATAAATTTTTTATTTTAAATAAATTATTTAATCATCTTTATTTTAATATATAATTAATTTTATTTAATCATAATTACTTTTATAATACATTTATTTACTAATTATATGATAACTAAAACTGTGTCTAAACTAAATAGATAATTTAAGTGCAACAAGGAAAATAATACTCTCTCCTCTCTGTCACATAACTACATATCCATTTGGTTTTTGTACAGAATTTTAAAAATATTAGTATTATATTGGGATGAAGTAGAAATGACTAAAATAACCTTATTAGTATTGTGATATAAAAGTAATGACATTTGTATAATATATTATAGTTGTAAGGATATTTGTAATGTTAAATAAATAATACATTTACTAAAATAAAATAAAATAAATACTTTATTATAAAATAGATTAAAATAAAAAAATAAAAAATTTGTCATGGGAGCGAGGGAGTAGCATTAAAATGGCACGGTCTAAAACCCCGAAGCGTGTATTATACTGTAGTGTTTATTACTTTGGAGACATTGGCAAGAAAATGCATCGGAAAGGAAGAAGAGAAAAAGACCAAAGAGCAAAGTAGCATTTAAATAAATAATTAAATAAATAAATAAAATACAATCAAAGAGAGAAACAGACAGACAGAGGCAACACTTTTTTCACTGTCGTGTCACATGCAGCAGAACCTGTAGCACAGCAGTTTAGGGTTTCACAGAGGAGAGAGAGACGGACCCCCACCCAATTTCCCAATCCCTAGCCCCCGCCATTAATTCAATCGTCCATCCATTCATGTCTGCTGCTTTCCCCTTCCAATTCCAATTCCCCGCAGACCGCACCAATTTCTGCACAAGCCATTTCGATCTCGATCTCTTGGCGAAGGAGCCGTAATTACAGCAGAGAGGCGGAGGAGAGGAGACCGAATCGAGGCCCACTTTTCACCCATTCGCTAAAATCCACTCCACAATAATTACTTGTACCCAAAATCCAGAGAAATGCTAAAAAGCACACCCCACCCCTGCTTTCTCCCTACGCTCCAAACGGAAAGTACAGCTGGAGGCCTTTGGGGCGAAGCCGGAACTGGAAGCCTTTCCGCCGGGGAACAATTGGAGTGAGAGAGCTTCCCTTTGATGTTGTTGTTGTTGTTGTTGTTACTATTACTACTTGTTTTCCATTTCTTTTGGAGTTTTCGTGTTTGTTTGATTCGGTTCGAGCTGCTGGAATTGATTCTCTTCCGACGAGATTTGCTCCAATTTTCTTCGGAGGGTTTCGTTTTGACTCCACGCCCACCAGGTGTTCGATATTTGGCGCAACAGCTGAAATCGAAGAATGCCTAGACCAGGTCCGAGGCCGTACGAGTGCGTTCGAAGAGCTTGGCACAGCGAACGCCATCAGCCAATGCGGGGTTTGATTATCCAACAGATTTTGAGGTACTGATGTTTCGGATTTTCCTATTTTCGATTTAGGGTTAATTTTTAGTTTCGAAGTTTCTTGAATTTGTTCGAAATTTCTTTGAATAGGCTTGTACATGAAAATCACTCTGCTGCTACTAAAAAGAACAGAGAATGGCAAGAAAAGCTTCCTGTTGTGGTCTTTAAGGCCGAAGAAATTATGTATTCGAAGGCTAATTCTGAGGTTTAATTCATTTGCTGATTCGATTTGGGCTTAGTTAGTTTAATGTTCTTGTTGTTGGAAATGTAGCTGTCCTAACTTTTCGATCTTCGATTAGGCCGAATATTCGAACGCCGAGACGTTGTGGGAGCGCGTAAATGACGCCGTGGACACGATTATTCGAAGAGATGAGAGTACTGAAATTGGGGAACTCTTGCTTCCATGTATTGAAGGTGCAAAATTTGTCAATGTCTTTTGTTAATTTTCGATAAATTGCTTAATTTTGTCGTGATTTGATGTTATTTAGATCGAATGTATCGTATTTTCAGCTGCCCTTAACTTAGGTTGTGTTCCGGTAAGAGCATCTCGAAGCCAACGCCTGAATAATCCACGGACTTACCTCCGGCCGGCGTATCAAGAATTCGGTCATTTAGATAAATCTAATCTGATGCCTTCGCAGACTTCGAATGATTCGATGCGCAAAGCCCCGAATGTCGGTTCTCCACGCGTTGTTTGGGAGAATAACGCCCAAATTATGCCAAATGCCAACCGTCGCGTGGATTCTCTCGCCGAAAAATTCTGCCCCGTCGGAAATAGAAACAATATGGAACTGGAGGATAATTCCAACAAGGCATCGGTGTATCCCTTGTACCACGGAATTCATCTCAGGCGCGACGCAATGGCGCGACCTTTGGTTGCGCAGGAACTGCTGAAATCTGATCCGATAATTGTTGGCGTGCCGATATATTCGTCGCCTGAAGTGGCTGAAAACGGGTGCCTGCAGAATTTGTTTCCAGGTGGTTTAGCAGAAGAAAAATGGAAATTAAATACAGCAGACGGCAAGGGGAAAGAACCCCACGTGGATTTCGACTTGTCCTTACGATTGGGATTGTTTTCTGAGTCGAACACGGACAGGGAAAAGGGTTTGAGCCGTGGAAGTTATGGAGTTCACGATGCATTTTCTCATGAGATGAACCAGTCGAAAGAGGGATTTCCTTTCTTCCCCATGGAACCTGCGCACGGGAGTGTGGATTTAGATTCTAGGAAACGTAAGCTGCCTTTTAAAGCCGATGTAGAAAATGATCAGATTTTCTGGTCGCGGGATTCGACATTCCATTTTGCCGGGCAATGGAAAAGCCGAGGTTTGTAGTAATTTTCTTTTTTTGTTTATGTATGTATCTTGCTGAGAAATATCGAAATGGGCAATGAATTCTTGTGTTTTGGTATTTGCGTCGTGACTTCTATGCCCGTGATCTTCTTGGTCGAAATTGGTTGTGAAAATTGGTATTTGCACTTGTGTTTTGTGTGAGCATATATATTTGCTATTTGCTACTTGAAGTTACATTTGCTGGGAAATTTGTTCGATTGATCAACTCTTATTTTTTCCAGTTGCTTGTGTTTCGATAGGAAAATTGCTCATACATAACGACATGAACTTGTTTTGTTAAATGACTTATGCTCTATCTTTATATTTTATTTCTTTATGACCTGAGAATCTTTCAAGTGCACTCTCAGTAAATTTTTGATCAAATTTAATAGCCTACAGACTAGGCCAACAAGGTAATTGGCGAATCAAATAAGACATTACAATACGATAAATTACTTTTACATAACACTCCATGAGCGTATGTTGCTATATAGGCGGCAGGTTTTGTGCTGATCCGACTAAGTAAGCATGGTGTTGATTTGACCAGATCAATATATATTATAGGAGTGATTCAGGTATGTTTATATACATATTTTACAGTATATATTGTGTTATAAGATAGCATATATTGACTTATGATATAATATATGTTAGTATTATAAAGATGTATATATGTATAAATATTACTAATAATCTTTGTAACATTGTTGATGTAATTTTTCAACAAAAATAAAGTAAAATTCAAAGATATAAAAAATATCCTTAAACTTGATTAATTAGTGCCTGAGATTAGGAATCTCTAAACACGGTACAGAAAATAAACTGGAAAATAAAAGACTGAAATTTAAAGTGGTGATCCCCAAATCTGACTTTGCTTTGTTGAAGTTGATTGAAGATACCCTGCCAAACGATGATCCAAACCCTTAAATGTTCTCTGGGAAACTGTACTGAAAACCGTCGCCCGAACGGTTACAACGTCTCCTTCCCCACCGTCTTCCAACCCTTCTCCTGCTGACACGTGTCCTCAGCAGACCAAAATTATCCCTATATTTCACTCTTTGAGCCGACCACAAACCTTCCGCCCTTTTGGCCCGACTGCCAATCTACAACCGTATTGGTCCGACTGCCAATCCTCCAGACTTGCAAACCATCTGACTTGTTTGGATTAGCTACAGACATCCCGACTAACAAACCATCCGACTTATTGGTCCCGCCGCAGAGTTCCGACCTGAGAACTTCCCGACCTATCCAACTTGAGGACTTACCGCCCTGAAGACTTTTCGACCTGTGGACTTTCCGACCTGAGGGCCTCCCGACCTGCGGACTTCCCGTCCTGAGGGCCTCCCGACCTGCGGACTTCCCGTCCTGATGACTTTCCGTCTTGGGGACCTCCCGACCTGAAAACCTTCCGACCTGAGGTCTTTCCGTCCTGAGGACTTTCCGCCTTGAGGACTTCCACCCGACCTGAAGACCTTCTAACCTGAAGACCTTCCGACCTGAGGTCTTTCCGTCCTGAGGACTTTCCGTCTTGAAGACCTACCGACCTGAAGACCTTCCGACCTGAGGTCTTTCCGTCCTGTATTTTCCTTAGAAATAAACCTATTTTCCTTGATTTCCTCACGGTGTCCTTCAGCCAGTACAATCAACTCTATTGCCAGGCCCATTCTTCTTTTTACCTTGGGCTTTTTAACCTAATTCTAATTTTCATACGTAACAAACATATTATGATCGGATCAGCACTATGCTGACTTAGACCGGATCAACAATTAATTATGCTATATACTTGGTTATGTTCTTCTAAATTTTATGTAAATTTATTCTGTTTTCCCTTTATTTAGGTTGATATCCGCCTAATTCCACCGTCTGCCTCATACTCTCCACCGTCTGCCTCATACTCTCCAACCCCCTCTCCATCGTCTGCACCATACTCTCCAACCCCCTCTCCATCACCAGCTCCATACTCTCCAACCCCCTCTCCATCACCAGCTCCAGACTCAGCGCATTGTTGTTGCCCGACAGCAGATCAGCGGGCGGCGGCGGAGCATTGCCCAGCTGCTGATCACCGGGCGGCGGCGGAGCATTGCCCAGCTGCGGATCACCGGGCGGCGGCGGAGCATTGCCCAGCTGTGGATCACCGAGCGGCTGCAGATCATTGCGTGGCGGTGGCGGCGGCGGCAGCGCATGACACTTGCTGTAGGTCCAGAGAATTCCCAGGACAGCCCAATAAAAAAGAATGTATATTGGCAAAAGCCATATACATCCTGCAATAACATATAGCAAAATCTGATACCAAGTGGATCTTAATATAGTTAAACTAAACAAGCAAATATAACTGCTCCAAATAGTACTTACACCTAAAAATTCTATCGTATCCGCCAAACTCTTTAATATTTCTATTTCTTGTCTTACTATTTCTCTAAGACAAAAAGTAATAAATAACAAAGCATTACCTAGAAACAAACTAATCAACACAACGTCCTCTATCCAATCTAATTTCGTCGGTTGAGCCAATAAATATGAAAATATAGCTAGACTAAAAGAAATGGAAGAATTGAACGTTGATTGCCCAACGTTATATCTAACAAACACCGTAGCCACCTCGCGGGGCTTTGGCGGACAAGAAAGTCTATCGTCTTGGTTTTGATTCTCATTCATATTCATATTGCCGCCTGTGTAGAAAAGATACAAATAAAATTAAAAAAATCATAAAAATAATATAATGGAGCTGCCAAAGAAATATATATATATATATTATTATTGAACTTACCTTTCAAAAATAAAAACAACTACCACTGGCCGAAGGATCGGGTTGAAGAAGAAGTAGATGGGGGAAGAATTTCGGCTGCTAGAATGTGGCTGCGAACCAACCTGGTGCCTTTTTTTTTCTTTTTCTTTAAACTCCGGCGGGCAGGGAGGGTGCGGTGGCGCGGTGGCGGTGGCGGGGAAGGTAGAAGAAGAAGACAGGGTGCGGCGCGCGGCTGTGTGGGTGTAGTAGGGTAAACACCTAAAATATTCTATAATAGTAGTATTAATTTTTATTTTATATTTTAAATTTTGTAATTTTTTTTTGTTATATGCTTATGTTTAATTTAAATTATTTTATTATCTATTACACCAATAATTTTATAATTATTTTTATTTATTTTTTAATTTAATTATTTACTGAATTTATTATTTAATTATTTTTAATTGTAACAATCTAATTAATTATTTATATATATGATTTTTATATAATAAATAAAAAATAAATATATCTAAATAAAATTAAAATCGAATTTAATTATTATTAAATAAAATTCAAATTTAAAAAATAGAAAATAAAAAAGAAAAAATACTAAAAATGAATATATATAAACCGATGTTTCAAACCATAACCGACCGACGGTTTATAAATAGTAATTGAAATCTCGTAATCGAAATCGTCATTGAGAACGTTGGTTTCGGTTTATATTTTGACAAATCGTAATAAGCAGTTTAAACAGTTTGGACAAGTTAGCTATGGGTTTATTATTTTGATTTTATTTTTTATTTAAAATATAGGGAATCGTATCGACAATATAAAAAATAATATATTATGTTGAATGTTAACTTTTGAAAGAGAATACTATATATATTATAAATCGTGTCAAAAAAAATAGTGGGTAAACAAATTTTATATACTTTCAACTTATTTGTTTGTATTTTTGTTGATGTAATTTTTCAACAAAAATAAAGTAAAATTCAAAGATATAGAAAATATCCTTAAACTTGATTAATTAGTGCCTGAGATTAGGAATCTCTAAACACTGTATGGTACAGAAAATAAACTGGAAAATAAAAGACTGAAATTTAAAGTGGTGATCCCCAAATCTGACTTTGCTTTGTTGAAGTTGATTGAAGATGCCTTGCCAAATGATGATCCAAATCCTTAAATATTCTTTGAAGAAACTGTACTGAAAACCGTCGCCCGAACGGTTACAACGTCTCCTTTCCAACCGTCTTCCAACCCTTCTCCTGCTGACACGTGTCCTCAGCAGACCAAAATTATCGCTATATTTCACTCTTTGAACCGACCACAGACCTTCCGCCCTTTTGGCCCGACTGCCAATCTACAACCGTATTGGTCCAGCCGCAGAGTCCCGACCTGAGGACCTCCCGACCTGTCCGACCTGAGGACTTTCCGTCCTGAGGACTTTTCGACCTGCGGACTTTCCGACCTGAGGACCTCCCGACCTGCGGACTTTCCGTCCTGATGACTTTCCGTCTTGAGGACCTCCCGACCTGAGGACCTCCCGACCTGAGGACTTTCCGTCCTGAGGACTTTTCGACCTGAGGACCTCCCGACCTGAGGACTTCCCGACCTAAGGACTTCCCGACCTGAGGACCTCCCGACCTGAGGTCTTTCCGACCTGCGGACTTTCCGTCCTGATGACTTTCCGTCTTGAGGACCTCCCGACCTGAGGACCTCCCGACCTGTATTTTCCATAGAAATAAACCTATTTTCCTTGAGTTCCCCACGGTGTCCTTCAGCCAGTTCAATCAACTCTATTGCCAGGCCCATTTTTTCTTTCTCCTTAGGCTTTTTAACCTAATTCTAAATTTCATACGTAACAACTTGCCCGCCGCCAAGGGACTTTCAAACGCCATTTATCAATCGACGTTTGGAAGTTCATAAATCACCACCCTCTTGAAAAATTCCCTTAGCAACTGCACCAGTTACTGCAACACTCCTGAATAACTTCCTTTCCTCAATACGAGCCTTTGTGAATCATAATCTCAACCACTCTAAACATGGCGAATCGATACATTCCTGCCCTTCCCTTCGACGGAACCCTCCCAGAGGGCCCGTTTTCAGCCTCGAAAGTACTAACTCCGACCATCCAACCATACTGCACTACTCCCGAAGACTCAAATCGGATGAGGGAAGTTTTGGAATCCCGAAATTCCTTGGCCGTCAACAACTCTACTTACCAAGCAGTTCGCATTCGAGACAGCATCAAAACCCATCTCACAGACCCAAAAGATCCTTATCGCTCTTGGTATCGACGGGTATCAGAACACTTCCAGACCCAATGGCGATCTCAAAAAATCGACCAAGCGATTCTATTGTCCACCATGCCGATCAATCTGCACGAGAAGGTGCTCCTAGCTATGTCGGCCTTCTGGAATGCAGAAAATGGGACTCTTCTCTTACCGTCGGGCCCCTTTGGTCCGACTCTCATGGATGTGGCGATGATCGCTCATCTCCCAGTCGTGGGTGTAGACCCTGTGATGGGAGCCCTAGATGGGCAGGAGCCACCAGAAGACCATCTAGGGTGGTCTTTACAAGGCGTGAAGGAATGGGGCTGGACAAAGTTCGCGACTGACCAGCAAGGGGCTCCAGGGACCCCCGTAACCGACCGGGAGCATACTGCCTTCATTCTCTTTTGGCTTTGTAGGTACATCATTGTTTCCCCCTCTAAATGCGTCCTTTCTTCTCACCTCGACCTGGCCATTCATATCGCGTCAGGTCGGTTCTTTTCCCTCGGCACTCTGTTTTTAGCCAATCTTTTTGAAGGTCTCACTAGAGTTAGCCTTCGTTTAACAGATAATGATAATAGAAAATTAGACACCGCCGCGTCGGGTCCTTTTTGGTTTTTAGAACTTTGGTTCCGTCTTTACTTCCCCGACGCGTTCAACTTAGGATCTCCACCCACTATGCCAATATCCGAAAAACATTTGGGATTAGCCCTCAACCGACTCTGCTTAGGACGCAGTAAACTCCAATCCTCCGACCCAATAATAACCACAATTTTGACAGATACCCGCAATAACTCCCGATTTTATATGTATAAAAAATATGCGGGTTATGCTCCCGACCACTTTTGGCCCTTTCCGGCACCAAATCCTCTTCCAACTTCTGAGCCTTGTCCTCATCCCACTTATCCTTTTGCCTGGGACGTTGCCCTCAAACCCAGGTCTCTTTTTAGCAGTAAAAAACTTGATAAAAAAGGGCAAAAAACTTTTTACACCTTTAATTACGAACCTCAATTCATGGCGCGCCAGTTCGGCTGCCGCCAAGGTATCCCTGGACCCGTCGCTTGTCCTCATATAATTTTTCAAAGTCCTGACCGATGGGTACTGCCTAATTCAATCCCTTCTTATATCTCCCAGCTCACCACGTATATAGTTTCCAATTCTTATATTCCTTTCCGCTCCAACCCTGAGACTGTAAATACATTCAATGAATGGTGGTCGGTTGTATGGGCCCTGATTTCCCCTGATAAGGATCGGTTGCTGAACGTACTCCTTCCCCCCCAAGGATTGGTTCTAGGGGCAGCTAGACATACCAGCACTCAGCAACAAACAGCCGCCCCGGGAGTCGGATCTAGCGTCCCAATGCGGAAAAGGAAAGCTTCCCAGCTGCAAACACCTCCGACCTCTGGGGCCGACCAGCAAGCTCCGGCGGCCCCTGGAACTACTAGGACGTCAACAAGGACCCGACCCCGAATAGGTAATTTTTCTGAAAACCGTGAACCATTTCACTATATCTTAACTTTGATTTCACTCATTTCATTCACCAGAACCGACCTTGGTAGCGCCGACCACACAAACGACGCCAGCCCCAGCCGACCAATCAATTGTCCCTTTGGTTCAGTCTCAGGCACTTCCTCTCCAAACCCCTACTCCACTTCTCGCTTTGCCAATGAGCAGTCGGGCGGAGGACCCGACCGCCATACATGGCATCAGACTCATCCATTTCGAAAGAAGAACCGGCTGCCCTTGCCGAAGCTGACCCTCAAAACAACATCCCTACTGCTGCTAATCCCGAAATAGTCCAATCGGATGCGGCCGCGCTGGAAGCCGAAGATACCTCAGCTGCGGCTGTCCCAGTTGCTCCTGAGGTACCGGCTGCAGTGGCCCTACTTCCAGCAATCGAGTGGCAGGCAGAAGAACCACCTGTGGCAGCTCAACCTCCAGAAATAGAAGAACTTTCTTCGTCCGATTCGGAGACTTCTGTGAATTTGGTAAGATTAAACCAATTCGTGCCACAGTATTTCTTTCTAAAAACACTAACTGTTTTATATACGACTTTCTATAGGGACCCAGGTCGGCACCTCAACAACCATTCGCAGCAGCCGACGAATCGGCTGCTGCTATACCAGCTGTCCGCCCCCCTCGACCGACCTCATTGTTGCCTCCTTCAATTACAGCAGTTCGCCCAGAGGTAACATATATCTTACTCAATCGTTCCTAAATAATATACACCTCATTTGAAATACTGATTGAAACTGTAAGACTTGCAGGGGCCTTCGGACTTAGCTATCCTATCGACTGTTCCGGTTCCAGCGGAAGCCCAAACTATATTCACCGAAGCCATTAACCGTCCCCTTCCAGAATTAAGATCCGACTTCTTGGACAAACTCATTCAGACGGTTGGTGGCCTTCTTTTTTACACTCCGACGGAATCGCCAGCCGTCCCCATTCTGCATCGGCTGATGGAGAGACTCACTGAGCTCAAGACTGAAGTATTAGTTATCGGACTCCTGTCAGCCGAAACGCCCCAGCCTGTCTTCGATCAAACAACACTGGAGAATTCTTTGGCTAAGACCCGAGAATCTCTTCAGCAAACTACTGGAAGGTTGGGCGGTCTCCTTAGCACGAAGGCTCTAGTTGATGAATCCATTCAGAAAAAGGAGGCAGAATTGCAGGAGCTAAGGAAAGAACAGTCCATCCTGGATAGTCAAATTGCCAATGAGCAGCGTCTGCTTGAGAGGTATACAAAGAACGAGGCCGAATTGGATCAAGAGCTGAAAACCCAAGCTCGATCTCAATTTATCAGAAAATATCAAACGGCTGCTGATACCAGAAGGCTATCCAGGGATGAGGTCAAATGGACAAATATAAAAACTGCCCTAGGGGCACTTTTGTAATACTTCCCCCTTTGTAACATAATTTGACTTAGTAATATATTTTTCCTTCTTCTCTCAAAATAAGGATCACCTTCCAATTTCCAACTTTTGAGGAACCGAAACAAACTCCTCCCTTAAAAGAACAATGTTTCTCACATATTAAGAAACACACCAAATTCCAAGGCATATTTTGAAAACCAAAACACTTGAAGTGTTAACAAACATGGCGAACGACCGACCTCATGTTCCATCAAGCAACTGGGAAGGTGTTCTTCAACCCTTCTTTGTAGGTAATCACCCTGTTGGAGGCCATGCAGAAGACTTGTTACATATACTCAAGCAACTAGACTTCAAATTCCGATTCTCCCAACGAGGTAGAAGAACCATTCATCGCGTCATCCGCCTAATGGAAAAAATCATTGAGGGGTATGACACTCTTCGTGACATCCTTAGCCGCATCCCTGACCTCCATCATTACATGGAATTGATTGAACATCACGCAGCAACCATACTTCCAGACCTTGGTTGGGATAATATATTTTCCAATCAACGAAAAGTCTTTTCAAGATTGCGTACCATTGTTGACCGTGAATATCAAGCCATAACAGATATGCAAGCACGTACCAATCAAGATTTAGACGAAATGCAAAGCCAATGGGAGAGGTACCGACCAGATTTGGAAGATCTTATCGAAGAAGAACCAAAACTAATATCCAATCATTGGGATGAAAATTCTGATCCAGAGGCAGAATACCTCCCACAAATACATGACGACTAACAGAAATGAACCTTAAAATAGGTTCGAACCCCATAAATGGGTTCTGAATAACATTTTGTTTCATGCAGTTTTGTTATCTGAAAAGGCAGGATAATACCTCTTCAGATATTTAGCATTAATACAATCATGTACTCTCTTACCTTCATGATTTACAATAATGAAAGCGCCATTTCCAATATTTTTCTGAATAATGTATGGTCCTTCCCAATTCGGTGACCACTTTCCCAATTGGTCAGTTTTCTTATATGTAGGAAGAATGGTCTTCCAGACTAGGTCTCCCTTTTGGAATGTCCTGCAAAAAACTTTCTTTCCGTAATTCCTTGCTCTGATTTCACTCTGTTTCACACTTTGACCTATTGCATGGAGTCGGTTAACATCCAAATCCTCCAACTGTTGCAACATAAGCTGTTGGTATTCTTTTGTAATATCACCATCAGTAAATTCTGTTCGGCCAGACGATACTCGGATTTCGGCTGGTAAAACAGCATCTTGGCCAAAAGTGAGTTGGTACGGTGAGAACCCTGTGGCCGTATTTCTGGTATTCCTGTGTGCCCATAAAGCCCGATACAATAACAAATGCCACTTTCTTGGGTTCCCTTCAACCATCTTCTTTATAATCCCAATAATGATCTTATTTGCTGCTTCCGCTTGTCCATTGGCTTGGGGATAATAAGGTGACGAATGGTGTAATCGGACACCAAATTCTGCCAAGAAACTAGAGAACTTTTCCCCTGTGAAAACCAGGCCCTGGTCGGTTGTTATAGACTGAGGAATACCATATCTGTAAATAATTTGGTTCAAAACGAAGTCTATCACTTCTTTCTGATCTACATTTTTCAAAGCAACTGCTTCTACCCATTTGGTAAAGTAGTCAGTCGCGACCAATATGAAACAATGATGTTTCGATGAAGCAGGATGTATCTTACCAATGATATCCATAGCCCATGATTTAAAAGACCATGGTTTTGCCAAAAATTGCAATTCGGTTACTGGCAAATGGTTTAAATTTCCATGTCTCTGACATTCCTGGCAGCCTTTGGCAAATTGTATGCAATCTTCAAAAATCTTTGGCCAGAAAAAACCCAAACGATGAATGGCCCATCTCATATTCAGACCTGCCCGATGAGCTCCACATATCCCACTATGTACTTCTGTCATTACCTCTAGAGCTTCTTTAGACCCCAAACATTTTAAAAGTAAACCTTCAAATGATCTCTTATACAAAATTCCATCTATCAATTGAAAACGTAAAGCCTTCAATCGTATCGCAATTGAAACATTCGCACCTGGATTTTGTAAATACATGATAAGTTCTGTTCTCCAATCGGTCGCTGTTCCACTGGTATCTTTATGTCCGACTGTAACTACGCCGTCGGGCTCCTGTCCGACAGTCTCTTGTCCGACCATTCGATCACATATTTGGTCTGTCTTTCCTTCTATGTCTGACTTGACCCCCGAACACATATCCTCCAGAATTCCTTTGCAGGCCCTTTGAGCCAACTCATCAGCACGTTGGTTTTCTTTCCTTGGAATGAACTCAATTATTACTTCTGAGATTTTTGTCAGTAACCGACCCACAATGTCCCTGTATCTGCGAAGATGAGGGTAATTGCAAACATATTGATTGTTTACCTGGTTGATTACTAGTTGAGAATCCCCTCTTATGATTACAGACTGGACCTTCCTGGCTATTAAAGCCTCCAAACCCAAAATTAAAGCTTCATATTCTGCCGAATTATGGGTCATGGCTTCCAATCGTAGTTGTAAGTTGATCTTTTGACCGTCAGGTCCTTGCAAAAAGACCCCTGCTCCTGATTTGTTTCCAGAGGTGGAACCATCAAAGAACATCAACCATGTTCTGGTACTTATATAAGGCACACATCCGACCTGTAGATTATTCAGATATGATGGACAACTGAGTGGTCGGACACTATCACAAAAGGAATATCCGACTTGTGAGAATTCTGCTAAGAAGTCGGCTACTGCTTGTCCCTTGATTGCCTTCAAAGGGGAATGTTGGAGATCAAAAGGAGCCAATTTGATGGCCCACTTCATGAGTCTGCCCTTCATAGTAGGTCTCTGTAAAATCAATTTGATGAGATCCACCTTTGATATGACCTCAATTCTTCTGGGCAGCAAATAATGCTCGAGTTTAGTGCAAGCGAAGACCAATGAATAACACATTTTTTCTGGCATAGTGTAATTCAGTTCTGATCCTGTAAGGGTTTTACTGAGATAGTAAATTGCCCTTTCCTTCCCGTCATCACCATCCTGTGCCAATAAACAGCTAACCACTTCATGTGTATTTGCCAAATAAAGTTTGAGCGGCCGACCTTGTTTAGGAGGCATTAAGACTGGAGGGTGAACCAATGCCTGCTTGATAGCATCTAAAGCCGTCTGTTGATCTGGACCCCATTCAAAAGCATTTTTTCCAGCTTTTAACAATTTAGCAATTGGTCTGACCTTGCCAGCAGCATTAGAGATGAAACGCCTCAAATAATTCACCTTACCCAAAAGACTTTGGATTTCTTTAACCGTCTTGGGTGGCCGACTGTCAAGAATGGCTTTAGCCTTATTAGCATCGATTTCAATTCCTCTCTCATGAACTAAAAATCCTAAAAAGCTCCCAGCTGATATTCCAAAAGCACACTTGGTTGGATTCATCTTCAACTTGTACTTCTTCATTCTTCCGAATGCCTCTTCAAGATTTCTCAAATGTTCGTTAAAACTGGAGGATTTAACAATAACATCATCAATATAAACTTCCATAGATTTGCCAATTAAATCATGAAAGATTGAATTCATGGCTCTTTGGTAAGTTGCCCCTGCATTCTTTAACCCGAATGGCATGACTGTCCATTCATAAATACCTAAAGCCCCTGGGCACCTGAATGCTGTCTTAGGAATGTCTTCTTCTGCCAGAAATATTTCGTTATAACCTGCATAACCATCCATCAAACTAAGGATTTTATGCCCTGCTGCTGCATCAATCAACATGTCGGCCATAGGCATCACATATTCGTCCTTAGGGGTAGCTAGATTCAAATCCCTGAAATCGATGCATATCCTTATCTTACCATTTTTCTTGACCACTGGTACAATGTTAGCCAGCCACTCCGCATAACGGCAAGGCTGAATGAAACCCACTTTGAGAAGTTTTTGGATTTCTTCCTTGATTTGAGGCATCAGATCCGGGCTCATTCGCCTTGGGGGTTGTTTATAAGGTTTGCAACCTTCCTTGATAGGCAATCGATGCTCTATCAGACTTCTTTTCAAACCAGGCATTTCTGAATAATCCCATGCTAAACAATCAATGTTGTTTCTAATAACTTCGAGCATCATTGTCTGTTGCTCTTTAGACAAATAACCACTTAGCCTGATCACTTTTGGAACCAATTCGGTTCCAAGATTAAACTCCAATAATGGGTCTTGTGATGAAGCTGTTGGTTCTGTTTTTTCTAATAAATCAGGCCAACGAAATTGTTCATCTTCTTGGAGGTGAACATCAAGAATCTCTTTACTATTTTCTGCTTTATGTAATAACTGCTTTAAATAGAACTTATTAATAAGAGAACTACATACTTCTAAACTTGTATCACCCATAACAGACAAATTATACGAGAATAGGTGTGGCTTTATCATGAGCCATACAATAAAGTTGTTCTTTTAATAGAACATCGAGTTCTGGCCAGTGACTTTATAACCCTTGTTTGGGTATTCCCTGGCCATATATAACTGAGACATCGGAGCCAAATGACTGGAATAAAAAACTGACTCTTCAACTTGTTCTGATACATCGAATGGGTTGTCATTTGCTTCCATTTTGAAGACCTGATTTCCTTCCCAGAACATTAATTGTTGATGTAGTGTTGATGGCACACATTGAGAGGCATGAATCCAGTCTCTTCCCAGCAAGAGAGAGTATGTAGTATCTGCATCCACAATAAAGAAAACAGTGGAGATCTTTTTTGGTCCGACTTCAATTGTGGCAACCATCATACCTTCAGGCTTGGTCGGCTGCCCTGTAAAGCTTGTCATTTCGAATTCCACAGGAGACAGATCATGAATTCCTTTCCCTAGCTTCTTGAGAGTCTTCAATGGCATAACATTAAAGACTGCTCCATTATCCACAAAAACCTTAGGTGATTGGTTTCCCGCAAACGTGAGCATTAACATACAGAGGTTTCAAATGGGAGATGGCACCCTCTGGGATAGGAGGAAACACTATCGAAGGTGTCTCCGACTGAGACTCGGGATCTGAAGCCTTTGCCCACTCTGTTTCCTCCAATTCGTCATCTGCCAAGAATGCCCATAAAGGTTCGTCCGTAGGATCATCTACCAGACTTGCCCACATCGGTTCATCTCTTATCTGATTAATCTCTGTCATTCGACAAGGGATTCGTGGCCCTAGACGAGATTTAACAGATCTCGAATTTTCCTCTGTAGTTACAACTTCTTCCTTTGTCTTATTCCGAGATTGAACCGTCAAAGATTCTATACGGAATTCTTCAGGAGATGGATTGATGTTGATCCGTTCACAATGTTGGCATCTAAAACCTCTAATTATTTCATCTGATATTCCTTTACCTTTCCCCTGTCCCGACGAACTTCCTTTGGTATACTCCGAAACGCCTAATCCGTCGTTCGGTTGCTTTCTTGAACAGACCCGAATGGACCGATTTTTTGGAGATTGAATGGCTGCTCCCTGCTCGTTGGTTGTTTGTTCTGTTGAAAAGACTCTAATGGACTGATCTCCTGCCGAGTGGTCGGCTGCTTTTTGTTCGTCGGTTAGTTGTTTTGCTGAAGGAACTCGTTTCCCATACTTCGCAGCATACCTGCGTTTGGCATTACGAATCTGTGTACGATTCATACCTGGGAAACGAGGATCTATATCAACTGGTAAAGGCTTTTTATTTCGAGCCCAATTGTTTCCGACTGACCCTGTTTTTCTGGTCGGGTGGTCACGCACTAAAACCTTTTCTTTCACCTCCACATTAAAAGAACCGTCTGGATGGTCCCATTTTTCAGCGACTGGCTTTTCACAAACTTTGAGTCTTTCTTCCGGTCGGCCACTGTTTGGCTGACTTCCTTTTTTTGTTCCGGGGCTTGCCTGAGTTCGTTCCCCTGTTTGTCCACTATTGGCCGAATTTTTTTCTGTTTCCGAACTTGGTTGGATGTCAACCATTGCCGTTGTTACTTTCGGAAACGGTTGCTGGTCTACACCTAAAGTGATGTACTTGAGCCGACCTGTCTTGATGGCTTTTTGAATTTCCTTCCTGTCCCAACCTGAGGACCTCCCGACCTGTCCGACCTGAGGACTCTCCGTCCTGAGGACTTTTCGACCTGCGGACTTTCCAACCTGAGGACCTCCCGACCTGCGGACTTTCCGTCCTGATGACTTTCCGTCTTGAGGACCTCCCGACCTGAGGACCTCCCGACCTGAGGTCTTTCCGACCTGCGGACTTCCCGACCTGCGGACTTTCCGTCCTGATGACTTTCCGTCTTGAGGACCTCCCGACCTGAGGACCTCCCGACCTGAGGACTTCCCGACCTGAGGACCTGCCGACCTGAGGTCTTTCCGACCTGCGGACTTTCCAACCTGAGGACCTCCCGACCTGCGGACTTTCCGTCCTGATGACTTTCCGTCTTGAGGACCTCCCGACCTGAGGACCTCCCGACCTGAGGACTTCCCGACCTGAGGACCTCCCGACCTGAGGTCTTTCCGACCTGCGGACTTTCCGTCCTGATGACTTTCCGTTTTGAAGACCTCCCGACCTGAGTTTTCCTTAGAAATAAACCTATTTTCCTTGAGTTCCCCGCGGTGTCCTTCAGCCAGTTCAATCAACTCTATTGCCAGGCCCATTTTTTTCTTTCTGCTTGGGCTTTTTAACCTAATTCTAAATTTCATACGTAACACTACTATTATAGAATATTTTAGGTGTTTACCCTACTACACCCACACAGCCGCGCGCCGCACCCTGTCTTCTTCTTCTACCTTCCCCGCCACCGCTACCGCGCCACCCTGTCTTCTTCTTCTACCTTCCCCGCCACCGCCACCGCGCCACCGCACCCTCCCTGCCCGCCGGAGTTTAAAGAAAAAGAAAAAAAAAGGCACCAGGTTGGTTCGCAGCCACATTCTAGCAGCCGAAATTCTTCCCCCATCTACTTCTTCTTCAACCCGATCCTTCGGCCAGTGGTAGTTGTTTTTATTTTTGAAAGGTAAGTTCAATAATAATATATATATATATATATTTCTTTGGCAGCTCCATTATATTATTTTTATGATTTTTTTAATTTTATTTGTATCTTTTCTACACAGGCGGCAATATGAATATGAATGAGAATCAAAACCAAGACGATAGACTTTCTTGTCCGCCAAAGCCCCGCGAGGTGGCTGCGGTGTTTGTTAGATATAACGTTGGGCAATCAACGTTCAATTCTTCCATTTCTTTTAGTCTAGCTATATTTTCATATTTATTGGCTCAACCGACGAAATTAGATTGGATAGAGGACGTTGTGTTGATTACTTTGTTTCTAGGTAATACTTTGTTATTTATTACTTTTTGTCTTAGAGAAATAGTAAGACAAGAAATAGAAATATTAAAGAGTTTGGCGGATACGATAGAATTTTTAGGTGTAAGTACTATTTGGAGCAGTTATATTTGCTTGTTTAGTTTAACTATATTAAGATCCACTTGGTATCAGATTTTGCTATATGTTATTGCAGGATGTATATGGCTTTTGCCAATATACATTCTTTTTTATTGGGCTGTCCTGGGAATTCTCTGGACCTACAGCAACTGTCATGCGCTGCCGCCGCCGCCACCGCCACGCAATGATCTGCAGCCGCTCGGTGATCCACAGCTGGGCAATGCTCCGCCGCCGCCCGGTGATCCGCAGCTGGGCAATGCTCCGCCGCCGCCCGGTGATCCGCAGCTGGGCAATGCTCCGCCGCCGCCCGGTGATCAGCAGCTGGGCAATGCTCCGCCGCCGCCCGGTGATCAGTAGCTGGGCAATGCTCCGCCGCCGCCCGCTGATCCGCTGTCGGGCAACAACAATGCGCTGAGTCTGGAGCTGGTGATGGAGAGGGGGTTGGAGAGTATGGAGCTGGTGATGGAGAGGGGGTTGGAGAGTATGGTGCAGACGATGGAGAGGGGGTTGGAGAGGATGAGGCAGCCGATGGAGAGTATGAGGCAGACGATGGAGAGGGGGTTGGAGAGTATGAGGCAGACGATGGAGAGTATGAGGCAGACGGTGGAGAGGCTGGTGCAGCATCTGCTGCCTTCTTCCGGCCCCTCCCTGCCTACTGTCACTCCTCCCGCCAGCAACAACGACTAGCTTCTCTTTCGGTGTCAAAGAATTGTAAATAAACGTAGATTTTTGTTTTAAAAACTTTTTAGACTTGTTTAAAGACTAATGTCTTTTGAACTACTTTCAATTTATGTTTTTTACTCGAACTTTACTTATTTAATTGATAAGCTGGTGCGCTTTAATTTTAAATTCCTATTTAGTTGTTTGTATTAATTGATTTTAGCCTTAGCGCCACAACGTAAGACTCATTGATTGATGAACGAGCCTTCCGGTGTGCCGTGACAGTGACACTCCGGGGTGTTACACATTGGGGTTGTTAGGCTGAAATGCTGAACTGATTAGTAAAGTGAGTCGTTCCAGTTACTTGTGTTTGTTATTCGAAGTTTTGCCATAGTCACTCACATATACTTGTATGTCTCTGTTGAAAACACAACCAAGACAAAACATTCCAACCTTAGATAGATTAAGTGATTGATGTTATACAGTGCTGTTACATGGCTAATAAATTTGGTTAGTTTATGCGGTGCTTGCATGTTATGTTATTGATTTGCATTGGCTGAATAGATCCTGAAGGAAAATATGAGGAGTGACTTAACTGAACTTGCCAGACGTGGAAAATTGGACCCTGTTATAGGACGTGATGTTGAAATAAGGCGATGCATTCAAATTTTATCCCGTAGGACAAAGAACAACCCTGTTATAATTGGGAAGGAAAACTGCTATTGTTTTCCAGCCTCTAGACTCCAAACAAATCAAGAAAATTGTTGAAATTCAGGTAAGAAAAATAAAACTTCATTTAATCTTAATTCCTACTATTCAATTACTTTTTTGATAAGTTGCATATCATTCTTGTCAAGGACAGAAGGAGAGGTATTCACAAACTTCCTAGGAAAAGCTAATTCAATAGTATAATTGGGGTGGGTGGTTTTTGGATGACTATTTTACGTGTATGTTTTTCAGTTTTACAGAAGATGTGAATTTTTTGGACTAGGATATGCCATGGTTAATTAAAACTCATTTGATCGTTACTTAGTTAGTCGTTTAATGTAATTAATCAAGGTGACGACTAGCTACTTGAACGTCGTTATGTGTATGAGTTTTGGCATTATATGTGGGGAACCAGAGCTGTCACACTCTGATGCTCCTTTGTTTTTCTTTATTGTTTGTTTGTGATTTGGTTAATATGCTTTTACACTGATATTTTTTTTCCATCATTTTATTATATATACAGCTACATTGAGTAAAAGACAGGCTGAAACAGAAGAACATAAACTTTCACTACACGGAGGAATCCATTGAACTGCTGGCCACATTGGGCTTCGACCCTAACTTTGGAGCCAGACCCGTAAAGCGGGTGATACAACAGATGGTGGAGGAGAATGAGGTTGCAATGGGAATCTTAAAAGGTGAAATTTCTGAAGAAGAAGATTTAGTTGTCCAAAGATGCACCATAACAAAACCAATTGTGCATCAAAAAGTTGGAAAATTCAGCTAGTACTTTTGGAAGAGCCTTGAATACATAAAACACAGGAAATCACCAAAGCATACTTTTGGAAGTTTTAATAAGAAATATCAAATCTATAGATAAGGCAAGGCATTCATCCCAATATAAAAGATGGAATTCTTAAGGAAAGGATATCTAGACATCTAGTTTAAAAAATAGGGTTAGTTAAATGAACCACTGTACATATATATATATATATAACAGATGTAATAGATGAACAATACATAAAAGATGAAATGGCTTATAAGAATATGCAACTTCCAACCATCAAATTAGTATATAACTTATGAACCATTAAAACAATAAGAGATGGCAACCTAATTTACCTAATAAGCTAAAAGAGGGCACAATGAAGATGACTAGGAGTTTATAGATGGGAATGCAGGACAACAAGCAATGGAAAACCTTTGAAAACCACATGATGTTGTTTATTATGCTTGGTTTTTAAATATATGGTTCTGCAACTTATGATTTTGTTCTCTAATGGTATGTTTTGTTACGTTTGGGTGAACAAAAATATAAGATCTAGCGTCTTCTATAATTGTCTGCCAGTGCCACATAGAAATAGATACTCTAGCTAATCACATCATTAAGACTAGAAGATTGCATAAGGTTACCAGATCAGGGTCTGGACAGAGGACTCTTTTCTAAGTAACTCGTATTTGGTGTTGCCAGACAGTTTGGTAACATAGGACAAAGTGTTTGAGTTTCTGCCACTCCTAACTAACTCAAGAGTCTATCTGCTGCTACCAAATAAACAAACAGTCTTTATTTATTTACCATTTTTGGAAAGGAAGCAAGCAAGGAAGGAAGGAACCCCATTTGGTTTGGAGGAGAGACAATTTGTTTCCATGATGTACCAATGTTGACATTAAGAAAATAATAATAATAATAATAATAATAATAATAATAATAATAATAATAATAATAATAATAAAATAAAATAAAATAAAATCAATTGCAAATCTAATCAATAAATAGTTAAGAGGTAGTTGGGAGCACACTTACAATAGGAGGCATCAGAGGCTGAATATCCACGTGGACTAACCAGCAGGGCAACACCTGAAACATCAGAAGTGTCACCAAGGAAAATAGCAAATTCCACCGATGAGGCAGTGGAGGGAACTCTCCAAAATGATTTTTTTTCCCCAGAAAATTTAGGGGAGATGCCACTAGTAGGGTGCAGAACCTGCTGTAGTCTCAACCTACATAAAAGAAGGTAAAGCTAATATTCACACAAAAAAGCATTCCAATACAACATCAATAATTTTAAAGTAAAATATGAGTAATCTTCATTGGCTGCTGTAATAGATAAGCAATACATTAAAGATGAAATGGCTCATAAGAATATGCAATAAATATAAATAAGACAAAGAAACAATTCAGATCCTCCATAGAATACCCAAAACTTAGATTGCCTTGTAAATCATGTAAAAGTGAACTATGTCATGATTAATCCACAAACATACTAGTAGACTTTCACATTAAATTTGAGGGTAAGTCAATGACATAGTCCTTTGGCTCACGTTGTGGCGCTAAGGCTAAAATCAATTAATACAAACAACTAAATAGGAATTTAAAATTAAAGCGCACCAGCTTATCAATTAAATAAGTAAAGTTCGAGTAAAAAACATAAATTGAAAGTAGTTCAAAAGACATTAGTCTTTAAACAAGTCTAAAAAGTTTTTAAAACAAAAATCTACGTTTATTTACAATTCTTTGACACCGAAAGAGAAGCTAGTCGTTGTTGCTGGCGGGAGGAGTGACAGTAGGCAGGGAGGGGCCGGAAGAAGGCAGCAGATGCTGCACCAGCCTCTCCACCGTCTGCCTCATACTCTCCATCGTCTGCCTCATACTCTCCAACCCCCTCTCCATCGTCTGCCTCATACTCTCCATCGGCTGCCTCATCCTCTCCAACCCCCTCTCCATCGTCTGCACCATACTCTCCAACCCCCTCTCCATCACCAGCTCCATACTCTCCAACCCCCTCTCCATCACCAGCTCCAGACTCAGCGCATTGTTGTTGCCCGACAGCGGATCAGCGGGCGGCGGCGGAGCATTGCCCAGCTACTGATCACCGGGCGGCGGCGGAGCATTGCCCAGCTGCTGATCACCGGGCGGCGGCGGAGCATTGCCCAGCTGCGGATCACCGGGCGGCGGCGGAGCATTGCCCAGCTGCGGATCACCGGGCGGCGGCGGAGCATTGCCCAGCTGTGGATCACCGAGCGGCTGCAGATCATTGCGTGGCGGTGGCGGCGGCGGCAGCGCATGACACTTGCTGTAGGTCCAGAGAATTCCCAGGACAGCCCAATAAAAAAGAATGTATATTGGCAAAAGCCATATACATCCTGCAATAACATATAGCAAAATCTGATACCAAGTGGATCTTAATATAGTTAAACTAAACAAGCAAATATAACTGCTCCAAATAGTACTTACACCTAAAAATTCTATCGTATCCGCCAAACTCTTTAATATTTCTATTTCTTGTCTTACTATTTCTCTAAGACAAAAAGTAATAAATAACAAAGTATTACCTAGAAACAAAGTAATCAACACAACGTCCTCTATCCAATCTAATTTCGTCGGTTGAGCCAATAAATATGAAAATATAGCTAGACTAAAAGAAATGGAAGAATTGAACGTTGATTGCCCAACGTTATATCTAACAAACACCGCAGCCACCTCGCGGGGCTTTGGCGGACAAGAAAGTCTATCGTCTTGGTTTTGATTCTCATTCATATTCATATTGCCGCCTGTGTAGAAAAGATACAAATAAAATTAAAAAAATCATAAAAATAATATAATGGAGCTGCCAAAGAAATATATATATATATATATTATTATTGAACTTACCTTTCAAAAATAAAAACAACTACCACTGGCCGAAGGATCGGGTTGAAGAAGAAGTAGATGGGGGAAGAATTTCGGCTGCTAGAATGTGGCTGCGAACCAACCTGGTGCCTTTTTTTTTCTTTTTCTTTAAACTCCGGCGGGCAGGGAGGGTGCGGTGGCGCGGTGGCGGTGGCGGGGAAGGTAGAAGAAGAAGACAGGGTGGCGCGGTAGCGGTGGCGGGGAAGGTAGAAGAAGAAGACAGGGTGCGGCGCGCGGCTGTGTGGGTGTAGTAGGGTAAACACCTAAAATATTCTATAATAGTAGTGTTACGTATGAAATTTAGAATTAGGTTAAAAAG